ACAACGGCGTGCACTTTTTCGACATCTCAACTTCCAAAAGTGGTCCGCTCCTCTAGTTTTTTGTCCATTTTGACTTGGAAATGTGCTTCGCGCCACAACGGCGTGCACTTTTTCATGTCTCATCTGGCCAGCTGGCTCCGCACCCGCCGCTTTAGCGAGCCTACTTTTCGACCCTCCGGAGCCACAAATCATTGGAAAAAACACAGTGAATCGCGACTTTCCTATCTTTTCGCGCATCTACCTCTTCTTTCTTCTGATCTTTTCTCTTCTGACTCTTCTCACCTCTGCTTTTCAACTGTCCATATTGTCGGAAGTTTCACTTCTAAACTTCCTTCGATGAGTGAGTGGACATCTAATTGGACAGCCGACACAGGGGTCGGAAAATGTCCTATTTCAACACCACCCAACTATTGGGATATCATCTCCGAAAAAACAATGAACCTGATGGTCAAAATCCCCAAACAGAACATTTACCAATCTTAACATATGTCTGAACAAATGCATTTTGATGATGTGGGTTGGCTCGTGACATTGCGGGTTATGCAGACTGAGCGGGACTGAGGGGAACTTGCGCCATCTCCATTGGATTCAACGGGGTCATTTTGCTGGTTGGATGTCACTGATCGGCCCACTATGATCCTAAGATATGCTATTTTCTTTTCGGCGAATCTATGACGAATCTATAATGTACACCTTTATACATCTACTATAGTATGTTATATTATATTCATTTATTTCAAATTATACCATGTTAAATTAGATTGATCGAAGGAAGTTTAGAAGTCAAACTTCCGACAAAGAGACAGATGAAAAGCAGAGGTGGAGCAGAAGAATCGAGAAGAGAAGAGCAGAAGAGAGAAGAGGAGAAGAGAGAAGAGCAGAAGGGAGAAGATCAGAGAAGAGAAAGTCTCAGAAGAAAGAAGCGCGAAACACTGTGTTTTTCCAATGATTTGTGGCTCCGGAGGGTCGAAAAGTAGGCTCGCTAAAGCGGCGGGTGCGGAGCCAGATGGCCAAATGAGAGATGAAAAATTGCACGCCGTTGTTGGGCGAAGCACATTTCCAAGTCAAAATGCACAAAACACCTCAGCTTCGGAGCACTTTTAGAAGTTGCGATGTCGAAAAAGTGCAGGCCGTTGTGGCGCGAAGCACATTTCCAAGTCAAAATGTACAAAACACCTCAGCTTCGGAGCACTTTTAGAAGTTGCGCTATCGAAAAAGCGCAGGCCATTGTGGCTCGGAGCACATTTCGAAGTCAAAATGTGAAAAATACCACGTGCTCGGACCACTCTTGGACGTTCAGATGTCGTTTCGCGTGGCAAGCGCAAGGGATATTGTGGACCTTGTCAAAAGTGAGTAAAACGTGAGGGTTTTGTGGCATTTCCAAAAACGATGGCAGGCGTGGGACATTTGAAGAGGATCTGCAAAGATGTATTTTCCGTGGCAGGCACAGTACAAGAGACATGTTCATCAGAGCTGTTAGGAGGTCCGGGCGCTGATTTCCTAAGAGCGGTTGCATTTTGGAGCCTCCGATCTTCAGGTTTGCTTAGATGATTTTGCGTGACAGGTGCAGCACTTCGTATGAGCTGGCATCACTTTTTCGTGGCAGGCGCAGTAGTTTAGACAGATGGACTGGAAAGATCGCAAAACGCATTGGTACGAGGCCGTCAGCTCTGCACTCAACTTTCCATTTTTGAACGAATGTCTCGCAGAATTGCTTCGTTTTTGATGTGGTCAACTTAAAAGAATGAGGAATTCTCGCAGACTTGCTTCGTTTTTGATGTTGTCAAGTGCAAAAATTGGGGAAGTCTCGCTGAATTGCTGCGTTTTTGATGTTGTCAAGTTTAAAAGCTGAGGCGGTCTCACAGAATAGCTTCGTTTTCAAGCTTGCAGATAGATAGACAAAGACAGACAGACAGACAGACAGATAGGTAGGTAGGTAGGTAGATAGATAGAGAGAGATAGAGAGATTAGATTAGATTAGATTCGATTAGATTAGATTAGCTTAGCTTAGATTAGATAAGATTAGATTAGATTAGATCGATCGATAGATAGAGAGGGAGAGAGAGATAGATAGATAGATAGATAGAAAGACACACAGATAGATAGGTAGATAGATAGGTAGATAGATAGGTAGATAGATCGATCGATAGATCCATAGATCCATAGATCCATAGATCGATAGATAGATAGATAGATTGATTGATTGATAGATAGATAGATTGACAGGTAGATAGATAGGTAGATAGATAGATAGATAGACAGATAGATAGATAGATAGGTAGATAGATAGATAGATAGACAGGTAGATAGATAGGTAGATAGATAGATAGGTAGATCGATAGATCGATAGATCGAGGTACAGTAGATAGATAGGTAGATAGATAATAGGTAGATAGATAATAGGCAGATAGATAGGTAGATAGATAGGTAGATAGATAGATCGATAGATTGATAGATAGATCGATAGATAGATCGATAGATAGATCGATCGATCGATAGGTAGGTAGATGGTCCGAGAAAGAGACAGAAAGAGACAGAAAGAGACAGAAAGAGAGAGAAAGAGAGAGAAAGAGAGAGAAAGAGAGGAGATCTCAAGTACCTTTGGCGCATCAGTGGATTCGCTCCGCCATCCGCGATTCACAACAACCAACCTCTCCTATAGGTTTCCTATTTTTGAAACTTCCGCCACTGCCTTGTGCGGTATTACTGGTATGAGTTTTGTTAAAGTATATTAAATTCTATCATATGGACCACTTTCTTATCTTTCCCCGGGTTCCACCTCGCCAGGCATCATAAGAGGAAAGCCTGGAGCGCTCCTGATACGGGGTGTGGGGTGTGCGAGAGCCACTTCCTGCCCAAATCCCTTCCATCAGGTCCGGCCTCAGATTGCACGGCATCGAAAATCGAGAGAACCCCACGGCACGACTCAGTCGTTTTACATATCTAATCCGGAAAAGCATGCATTTAATGCTGTGCGACAAGAGTGCTGGGGGAACCTCCCACTCACCACACACAACGCGAGCTTCTCCCGAGGTCAGCAGGCACCACACGTTCTACATCGATGTGGCGTAGCCAGGTCGGCCAGTTGATGCCCACCCTTAAGCCATCGGATGCGGCAAGAGCAGCGAAATGTGAAATCATTGGAAGTGCCGTGTTCATGCTATATAATGCTATATACACGTCTTGATTTGTGCTGTGCCAACGCCATGAAGTCCTCAAGATTTCTGGAAAGAAATTCCCGCAATGCAAAAGTTTTTGGCACCAGCACATCGCTTGAGCACAAAAACGGCACATCATGTCTGCCACCTGGGGCTCACTTTGGGCAAGAGGTTGACATTCTCGGTGAGTATGCCATTCGTGTCCATGCTTCGCAAACCAGCATGGCCAATTTATCCGCGTTTGGGCTCTTCTCCTGTAGTGGTCTCTTTCTAGCTGGGCTCGATTTCGGTCTTGGGCAACTGCGGTATGCATGTCACGCCATACCGCCAGCTGCTCCCGAAGTCAGCAGGCCACATGTTCTACCTCGACATGGGGTAGCCAGGTCGGCCAGTTGATGCCCACCCTTAAGCCATTGGACGCGGCAAGGGCAGTGAAATGTGAAATGATTGGAAGTGCCGTGTTCATGCTATATAATGCTATATACACGTCTTGATTTGTGCTGTGCCAACGCCATGAAGTCCTCAAGATTTCTGGAAAGAAATTCACGCAATGCAAAAGTTTTTGGCACCAGCACATCGCTTGAGCACAAAAACGGCACATCATGTCTGCCACCTGGGGCTCACTTTGGGCAAGAGGTTGACATTCTCGGTGAGTATGCCATTCGTGTCCATGCTTCGTAAACCAGCATGGCCAATTTATCCGCGTTTGGGCTCTTCTCCTGTAGTGGTCTCTTTCTAGCTGGGCTCGATTTCGGTCTTGGGCAACTGCGGTATGCATGTCACGCCATACCGCCAGCTGCTCCCGAAGTCAGCAGGCCACATGTTCTACCTCGACATGGGGTAGCCAGGTCGGCCAGTTGATACCCACCCTTAAGCCAGCGGAGCAGCAAGGGCAGTGAGATGTGAAATGATTGAAGTGCCATGTTCAAGTTACACTTCTTGATTTGCACTGTGCCAACTCCATGAAGTCCTTGGGCTTTCGGGAGAGAAATTCACACCGTGTATATAATTGCGAATCCTGGACGCGTAAACTCCGAACGTGCTCAGATGATCATGATCCATCTATATAATTATGTCGAAAACTGGATTTGAGCATGTTCAATCCTCCAAGACTCCCCCACCCAAGTTCTTGACACGGCAACCTGCAGAAACAACACACGCTTCTGGTAAACTGTGGAATACTTGAAAAGGATTGCAACCCTGCCGAAAACCATCCACCAAACACCGACCGGCGAGTGTGGAATCGTGTGAGGCATGTCGATCAAGAAGATTCGAAAAATACAGGCAAAAACCTATGTATTGGATTCTACTGGTACGTGGTGATGCTTGACATTTCCTGGTTTGGAATTTGTGACCATCTGCCTTACACCATGAAGCCCTCTCCATCTCTCCATCCCCGTGGTTTTTCCATTGTAATAGGCGGTGCCCAGATTACCCAGTACATATTGGATGATGGTGGTGGTACATATTGCGAGGTCGCAGAACTTTTAGCACTGTTGTGTGAACAGCCTTGCCGTGCTTCAATGCCTTCAATAGCCTGTAGTTGAGCCGGTTGAGCTGGTTGCAGCAGTTGAAGCGAGTCACACCAGGCTCTCGGCCCATGGGTACTGCTCCACTAAGCGCTTCAAAGCTCTCTGGTGAACCAAACAAGCTTCCATCCTCCGGAGCTGAAACAGTGAAACCATTCTTGGACAATGGTCACTTCTGCAAAGTACTATAATTGTTCAGCTCTGTGAAAGTGGCGGTGGTTGAAACCTACAATCTGGAATGCACGTACATGCAACCTGTTGGTTGGAAAGCGTTGCAAAAGGGCGGGATAATGAGATTTGAAGCTTGGATGCGAACCCTCCTCTAAGCCTATTTGTATCCTATTTGTTTTTTGCCAGGTTTAGCTCAATCTTTCGGAAGAACTACATGCGAGATAAATAAAAGTAGAACCGTGTTTAAAAGCAGGAAATCTGGTGGCAATTGCTTCGGTCGCTGCACTTTTGCATGTTTCACACATGTGTTGTGTTGCCAAGTTTCAAGTCGCGAGCAAAAAATGCCATTGCAACGCCTTGGGCGCTCTCTGGACTTGAGTCTCTGGCCATCCAGAGCCATGGCTTCGCGACACACGGCGCGCTCTGCAGGCAAAGGCTGTGACTGTTTTTGTCTGTGTCATGCCTGACACCCGATTGTGCACCAAAAGTGATCACTCGGGACACCGCCAACGACCTCACTGCATCCAAGCTATCTGCTGTGACGCCCATTGAGATAAACAGATAAACTATAGATAACTTTGTCCACTGGCTGTGGCCCCAGCACGCTTCAAAACTGCTGCGAGCTCAAAGAAAGAAGTAGTTCAACATTCAAATGTAGTTGAATCTGGAAAGCAACTTCTGCTGCATACTGCATTACACTTTGCACGGGGCATTCCTCCTCACCCAGTTTGAAAAATGAGGTGGCCCTGAATCTGGAATCCAACCAGACATCGCCAATCATCAACCCGATGGTTGAAAAGCAGAAAGCTGCAGTACGCCCGATTTTCCTTTGTTTCACCGCGTGCCTTGAAGGCATGCAGACAAGCTGCGCTCGGCAAAAAAAGGATGACGAGGGGTCGCAAAATGTCGCAAAAAAAGGCTGGTGCACACTATGTCTGAACAAAATCCATACCACTGGCTTTGCGGGGTGAAAGGAAAAGCGTCTGACCACATTTTTTGTCAGGGCTTCGCGAAGGATTTGCCCTACCAATTGGCTTGCATCCTTGTGCAGCAAAGTATTGTTCATGTTGAGTCACTGTGCCAAACATATTCCTATCTAAATCATAGAATCTAATCCCTAATTTGCAGTTTGGGGTGCTAGAAGCATAGCTGCACTACAGCCATTGTAAACTGCTTGGGCGTAACAAGCACGGCATCGATGGACGCCAGCTGCTCATGGTGGAGTTCTTTGAGGCTGAAACACGGCCGCTGCATTGCAGTGCAGTAGAACGCTGGTCGCACGTTGGAATTTCTATTGATCAAATCGTTTAAGCTGTCGTCAGTCTTAGGTTTTCAGAGCATGCCTCCCATGATGGTAAGAAAGCCCAAAATGGAACACAGTGCGACCATCTCATCACTTGACTCTGTCAGCGAAAGCTTTGGATGCACATGGTTATTCTAAAATGCCTACATATGCCTACCATTGACAAACATATTGTATCATCTTGTGTGGAAGATGGTTGAACAACAAAACATCTGGAAAACATGTCCAAAGCTCCAGAGGTGCCACAGTTTTCCATCTGCAGCGATTAAGCAACGGGAATGGTCCCGCAAGTATCAAAGCGAAAGGAAGGCATGTGGTCACTGATGGTAACTGACAGGCTATACAATTAACTCATTATATAGCGCCCGGATAGAGTCATCTGCATCGTAGGCAACAGCCTCAGGGAAGCTTGCGAAGAGAAAAGGCCGTCATCAAAACACGGTACTTTGACAGAGGCAATAGTGACAGTTTAAAAAAAAGGAATGCCCGTCACGAAATTTAACACAGTGTGACTGACAATCATTGTGACAATCATTGTGTTTCCTTTCACTGTCCCTTCATTTTTTGGGTGGACGTGCGTGGAATCTGGTTTCTCCAAAGGGGCGCGAGCTCGTCCTCAATGTTTCGCCTCTGTGTTCGGTTTCTCGTCGTTCTTGGGACGGAATTGATGACCCCAGCATCGCCCAGCAACTTCGTCAGCTTCCTCGTGGCAGTCCACCCAAAAATGCCTTCAGGCTATCGAATCTGTCAATACTCTTGGACCCATGACAATCCTGTCTTGGTAGTTTGGACCTAACAGGGTGGGAATTCAGCTTTATGTGGAGGCCACCAAGGTGCTGAACCTCTTCTGCAACATGTTTCACATCATTGCCGAGGAGAATCCTAAGCCAAATGTGGAACGGGGCAATCCACCAGTGCATCACGTCACATCCAAATGTGAAGGGGCCCTCCTGTTTAAACATATATTAGATAGATTGATATAATGTGCTAAAATCATTATGTGTCCCAAAGTTGACCTTCTCTGCCCTATTTATCTCCCGATGGGCCAATGAGGAATGGTTTGGCATCGTTGGTGCCGGTTGCATACCCCTCCTTCAGCACCGCTGCGGCCTCCAACCAAAAGCAAGCACCAACAACAACCACGATGTATTATATCTTAGATATTACGCAAAAAAAAACTAATAGTAACATAATAGTAACTGACAAAAACATCAGTGAAACTGCCGCAGCGAGAACGCTGCTGCGCAGTTGATCCCTGTTCTGCCATCTGCTTCCTAGTTGCATCTTATCATCTGGTTTTTCCATCCCGGTGGGTGCAAAACAAGGTGCTGATCGATTGCTCGGGCAGGGCCCTTGCATCTTAAAATGCCCTCAATGAAGTCATCACAGGATATAACTCCCTCACCTTACATCCACACAATTTGCGGATCTACAATCACTGTCATTGCAAAACATGAAGCACATGCTGCTGTGCCACATGGAGCATCTGACTTGGGTTTCCATCTGCATCGCTTAGAGTCCCTTCCCTGCAATGCCATGCTAAGAAACCCGTGACGCAAAAACATGCAAAAACAATCAAAAACACCTATCATAGCATTCGCAACAAAATCAAACAAGTGGCTATTCTGCAGCAGTCGGAACAATGCAGTGCTTTCCTGGGTGCAGACCAAATTTTCCACAGTTTCAGCGAGTCCTGGTCAGAATTATATAAATAAAATTCAATTTCAGCGGGAAAAAAACACATAATTCTGCGAAGGTGCCTGCACATCAATCTCCAAACTTTCGAGGTAAACCTGCACCCGGGGGTCCCGCATCAACTCAGTCCTCAGAAAACATGCGCACTTTCAGGGGATTTGGATTGCTTGGATCGGCCGTGAAGATAGAACTGTAAACATTCTCAGCGAGGCCGAAGCTGGCTGACATTTGCAGTCAAGAGTGGATGTTTTTTTGCCTGCACTAACCGTTGCTATCCTGCACTCCAAGTCTCAGCTCATCTTCGCTCAGCACTCCATCTCCGCTCTCATCACAAGCTTGAAAGATTCCTGTCAAATTCATGGAGGCGTGGCGACGGCTTGGTCGCAGGTCAGTTAAAATGTTTATGCATTTGTTTATTGATTTATGTTATTTTTTGTGGGCGGCATAAGGCTCCATTAATGTTCGGCGGGGAAGATTGGGTGAGACGGATCAGCCACTGCGTAGCGGCAGTTGCATGGCTGGGCCCCGGTGGCTCCGCGAAGTCCAGGAGGTCCGCAAGCGGCATCTCCTGCAGCTGGGGCGGTCGATCCAGAGCCCGCCAACGAGGTGGAAGCCACCGCGCGCTAAAGAGCGCAGCTAAGTTGAGCCCGGACCAAGACTTTCTCCGCACGTTGGCTACACTCCGCGCTGGCCAGTGCCTTAGCGCCCACCTCACCTCCATAGGCGCCAGAGGCGGACTGGGAGGCAAGATGCCAAACTCACTAGGCATCAACGGAGGCTGCCGCAGCCAAAGGGATTGCGAAACCCAATTAAAGGACCGGATAACCCCACAAGTCAACTTCTTCCAATAACTAGTAACTAGAAACAAAAGCTGAAGCGGGACGGGGAAGGAAGGAAAGACAAAGTAAAGGAGGTGGTGGAGGATCGATAAGTTAAAAACATTTGTATGGGGAAGAGTTGTGTGTGTGTGTTCGAACGGTGTGATGTATGAGGGTGAAACAGTTGTGTGTGCAAGAGCTGCGTGTGTGTGAGGAAGTTGTGTAATAGTTTGGGTGTGAACGAGTTGTGTGCGATAAAGTTGCGTGTGAAAGAGTTGTCTGTGCAAGAGTTGCGTGCGCCAAAGTTGTGCGTGAGAAAGCCGGCCTCTCAAGCGACGCAGTGGAGAGCAGGGCGGGGCGTTCAACAGTCGCAAGGATGTGAACTGACCGGCCAGTGCCTCGGTGTGTGCCCAGCAAGGCGCATTAGCCCGTTGCCCTTGCTGCCATACTCGGTTGGAAACCGAGCGTTGGCCCCAAGCACACACAACCGCATCATCCCCCACCCCGGCCAACGAGGTCGAAGCTTGCGGCATCTTGCGGCTCGAACAGAAAACACCTGACAACACGACAGCCATCACTATGCAAAACACATCTAAAAGTATAACATGCGTAAACAAGCCGTCCAGCAGGCACATCCAAAGTGACATGAACCAAGCGCTCCAAATGCTTCTTCCAACTTTGAGTCAAAGCCAGCTTCGCCGAACTCAGATGCAAGCCAGGCCTGTCCTACCTCCAGTGGCCCGACGTCCGTGACGGAGAACGCAAAGGTACTTGTCTGCAAGGCTAATACAGCCTTGCAGCGGTGAGAAATGCTAACAACAGGTAAAGAACTGAATGAGTGTAAATGAGCTGGTCCGAAAATGCCAGAAAAACATCGAACCAGAACAACAAGCCTATGTTCAACACAAACACACTCTGCGACAGCACGTCAAAGCCAGCACGTCAAAGCCAGCACTGCTAAACTCAGGTGCATTGTCCTTGCGTGAAAACGATCGGGCAGGTACCTGGCGGGAATGCGAGAGTGACAACACATGCAGCAATGTGGCAAACATAGCTAAACACGGTGTGCACGTGACACATAGCTCCCACGTTGGGCCAAAGCGAAACATGCCAGCATCGCTTCCTGTGTGCAAGTAAGACATGGCCAAACATGGCTTGCGCATGCTTGCACACAGTTTGTTGTAGAACATGCCAGCATCGCTTCCTGTGTGCAAGTAAAACATTGCCAAACATGGCTTGCACATGTCGCTTCCACTAAGCTTCCATCAAAACTATCAAACATGCACAAGGCCTCTTCCCACGTTGGGCCAAAGCGAAACATGCGAAACATGCCAGCATCTCTTCCACTAAGTTTCTATCAAACATGCAGAAACATGCCAGCATCGCTTCCACAAAGTACCTATCAAACATGCACAAGGTCTCTTCCCACGTTGAGCCAAAGCGACCAGACCATAAATAGATAACCAAGTGACGAAGCAGCAATCGTGTGGACGATGCAAGACTGCCAACAAATACAGCAAAACATTGTATGCAAGTAAGACATGGCCAAACATGGCTTGCACGCAGTTGGCTGTAACACATGCCAACCAAGCCCGCCACCAGAGGCAGCGCAGTGCCATAAGTGCCACCCCTGCAACGCAAAACGAAGGTGGATGTCGCCAAGTGCGACGCCTGCCACGCAAAGTGCCGCCGCAACCAGCTGGGCCCAAGCGCGCCACCAGAGCGCGAGGTGCCATAAGTGCCACGCCTGTCACGCAAAGTGAATGCGTGGATGTCTGAAAAGCGCCACGCCTCCCACGCAAAACGAAGGTGGATGTCGCCAAGTGCCACACCTGCCACGCAAAGTTCCGCATCACCGGCGACCAGCAGCGCCCAAGCGCGTCACCAGAGCCAGCCCAATGCCATAAGTGCCATGCCTGCCATGCAAAACGAAGGTGGATGTCGCCAAGTGCCACGCCTGCCATGCAAAGTGCCGCGGCGTCACCGGCGACCAGCGACGCCCAAGCGTGTCACCAGAGCCAGCGCAATGCCATAACTGCAATGCCTGCCGCGCAAAGAGAGATGGTGTGTGACAAAGTGGTGTGTGACAAAGTTGTATGTGACAAAGTTGTGCGCGCGTGTGTGTGTGTGTGACAAAGTAGTGTGTGACAAAGTTGTGTGTGAGCAAGTTGTGTGTGAGTGGCAAAGTTGGTGTGAGCAAGTTGTGTGTGACAAATTTGTGTGTGAGTAAGCTACTGTGTGTGTGACAATGTGGTGTGTGATAAAATGTGATAAAGTTGTTTGTGTGACAAAGTTGTGTGTGAGCGGCAAGTTGTGTGTGAGTGGCAAAGTTGTGTGGTTATGTGTGTGTGTGAGCAAGTTGTGTATGAAAGAGGGTGAGTGGCAAAGTTGTGTGTGACAAAGTTGTGTGTGAGCAAGTTGTGTGTGAAAGAGAGAGGAGGCGGCGGAGGAGGAGGCGGCGGAGGAGCGGGATACAGAATCCAAAACAAGAACCCCACACAAAGATGTGGGGAAAAACAAGAACCCCACACACAAAGATGTGGGGAAAAGTGGCGTGTGACAAGTTGTGTGGAGGTGGCAGAGGAGGCGGAGGAGGAGGAGGACGGGAGGAGGGGCGGACGGGATACAGAAACGAAAACAAGAACCCCACACAAAGACGTGGGGAAAAAGAATGCGAAAGAACAAACCCTTTTCACAGATCTGTCTCAATGAGACCAAGCTTGAGCCCTGCTTGCTCTACACAAGCTCCGTGCAAAGAACAAACTATAGACTACGTATCATATCATAAAAAAGAGATATTCTCGTATATCTGCATGCCTGCGCTCATCTCTGAAACGCTGAATGTCCCAGGCTGTACCCATGACGGTGCCTTCCAACTTCCGGACGTAAGTGGTTTTCTTATGCAGGCGATCCTGCACAGCTATGGATGAAGCGACGACTCTAATGAATTTGAGCCCTGAAAATGGGCGAACAGCATTCAGCTACCGGGAGAAAGAACATGTTTACCGCAAATCCTGGACCAACATCTCCGCATCATTGTTCGCAGCTTCTAAAGTTTCGCGCAAAAATATGGCGCTGATTACTCTGATGACCTCAATTCACATCGCCATCTCTGGCCCTATGGCAAGCCAACTGCATCTGATCAATTCTGCAATGTGGAAAAATAAGCGCCCGACTGCGAATACCACCTGTCTCGCCAAGCGGCCAGCGGGAAACAACCCTAAAGAGAACCCGGCAACTACATCAAGCGGAACGGGGGAAGAATTCGAAGAAACGTATTCAACAAGCAAGGGGCGAAGGTAATGTACAAGATGTAGAAGACAGCATAACCATGTCCCACATTTTCAAGGACCTCAGCTTCAGTGAGGCGAGTTGAGCGGCGCCAGGCCATGGATCGTAGAGAAAGCAATCATAGTACATGAAGGTGCCCAGCACCCGCGGATTCGTTCAGAGGGTTTACGCCATGTGACATGTATGCTATTTGTATACACTCATATAATCTTGCCTTGCGCCCAGCAACCCCACACCCCATGCTGCCGGTCAGTGGGCCTGGCCAAACACGACCCACTACCTACATGATACCTCCATACAAGGTTCACTACCTATATCGGATTAGCATGGATTTCATGCAAGGTTCACAACAAAAAAATATTTTCAAGGCAGGCGTGGCACCCGACAAATAAGCTGCATACTGCCCCTATGTTCTAACCACGGGTGGGACACGGGAGGTTGCTAGGCTGGACCGTATATTCATTTTGTCTGTGCCAAATTCAGGTTGGCCAGTCTTGACAATGGCAAATGCACAGTACTGACACGCCATCACACTGCTGGAGGAGTCACTGGGCGTGCATAGGTCGGCCAGTTTCCTTATGTGCTCACGGGGAACAGCTCACGGGGAACACAGACACACTTGAATCATCTTGTGTCACTTGAATCCTTCATGGCCGGCTTCAATCTAAGACCAAGAACAAGTCCAGCGCATGTCAGCCAGGAGGCCCGCAAAAGTAATTTCGAACCTTGGCTGAAAACATGTAAAGCGAAGCCATTTGAAGCGGTGCGGTAGCACTCTCTCATGCATGGTTACAGGAATACCAAGGTCAAGTTGTTGTGTAAGATGTTGTTGCAAGGGCCCATGCCCTCGTGGATGGGGTGATGCCACTGAAAGCACAACTACGAAGCCAAGATTGCAGAAAGGAACAGAATCGTTATGGAGGAAGAAAATGCAAACACGTACAAAACTTCAAACACCGGGGACTTGGGAGTGCACACCGAGAAGCATGGTGTAGATGGCCCTGTAGGCAGTCCCATAATGCATCCACATCCAACGCCGATTGTCAATGCTAGCATCTTCATCCATAATGTAATCCTGCAACCTGCCAACCCCCGCTGGAACACAGCGCTACGGACCTGCACAAAAATGTATGCTCTTAGTCCTCGCTATGGACACAGAGGCATAAGCTGCACCATGCACATAAGTTTCCTTCAGTACGGGGGTTCTTTTGCAACTTCCCAATTCAGGCGCGCCCTACCCTCATTAATCTTGTTAATAACAACAAACAAACAAACAAACAAACAAACAAACAAACAAACAAAACAAAACAAAACAAAACAAAACCACACCAAACCAAACCAAACCAAACCAAACAAACAAACAAACAAACAACAACCAACAACCACAGCAATAACAACAACAACAACCAACAACCAACAACAACCAACAACAACAACAACAACAACAACAACCACAACAACAACAACAACAACCAACAACCAACAACCAACAACCAACAACCAACAACCAATAACCAACAACCAACAACCAACAACCAACAACCAACAACCAACAACCAACAACCAACAACCAACAACCAACAACCAACAACAACAACAACAACCAACAACCAACAACGACGACGACAACAATAGCAACAGCAGCAGCAACAGCAGCAACAGCAGCCACAGCAGCAACAGCAGCCACAGCAGCAACAGCAGCAACAGCAGCAACAGCAGCCACAGCAGCAGCAACAACAACACCAACAACAGCAACAACAGCAACAACAACAACAACAACAACAACAACAACAACAACAACAACAACAACAACAACGGCAACGGCGACAGCAATAGCAACAACAACAACAACAACAGCAACAACAGCAACAGCAGCAACAGCAGCAACTGTAACAGAAGCAACAAGACAAAGACATGTGCTGACTCCTGTGCAGCCCCAACTCACGGAAAGCCGTGCTGGGGTCCAAGCAGATTGCCCATAAAAAGAGCACCCATCATCATAAAGAGCCCAAGGAGTGCCATTGACCAACCTTCAAACATGCTGAACCACTGCTGAATGTGATTCCAATCTCTCTCTGAATGGACTTGTAGGTTTACAAGAAAACGTCGCGCTGATCCAAGCAACACAGCGACGGCAAAAAGGAGCTGCATGCTTTGATCAAAAGCCGAAGTCCTCGCGCAAACAAACGGATCAATAGAAGGAAAAAGGCTTGTCATGACAGTGCCTCATGCTGTCGGTGCCGGTGGCTTCCACTAGATACCCAGATACCACTACTATTTCTACTGCTACTACTAGCGTTACTGCTGCTTCTATTGCTACTCCTACTAATAGCAGCCATCGTCGTAGTAGTAGGAGCGGGAGTAGTAGTAGCAATAATAAAATAAAAGAAACAATAATGGCAATAATGATCCTAAAGTAAAAATAGTAATAAGAATAAGAAGAGTAGCAATAAAAAAAATGAAGCCAAAAAAAGGGTAATAATAGCAATATGGTAGGAACAATGAAAAGATTTAAAAAATACGAAAGCAAAAAAAAAAACATGGTAAGAATAATAATGATGATGATATTTAAAATAGTAATAATACTAAAAATACAGCTTGAGTATTGTACAAGAATTCACTGTATAAGAATTTGAGGGGCTCGAATCCAAGGCGGGCTACATATTTTCATGTATACCAAACACATAGTACTTTCAGAATTTGAGGGGCCCTGGAATAGGATTGCCAAATTCTTAAGTTACTGCTTATACGTGAGGTTTGCAACTCCCCTTTGCGGCTCATTTACTCTGAGAAGTTGCACGCGCGGTGTGACTGTGAAAGGCAGGCTACAGGAAACCAAGAAAACGACATAGTGACAGACCCTATTAGATGCCGAAAGAGTCCCCCGCCGGGATTTGAACCTCCAACCTTGAAGGCTGAAGTTCGACATCCCGACCACTATGCTACAGGAACCTTCAAGGAATTTTGCCATCTCATTCTCTCTCTTTGCCTTGGCTGCAAAGGGCTGGCTTTCGAATGGGTTGCAGCTGCGAAAACTGGGCTGCAGCTGCGAAAAATCATTTTTTCACGCTCTGAAAAATTGCTTTTTCTGCGCTGCTCTTATGAAACTCAGAGAAGCCCGGCTTTGCAAAAAAACAATTTCTCACGCTCTCATGTTTATTCCACGCTGCTCTTATGAAACTCAGACAAGCCTGGGCTTTGCAAAAAAAAATAATTTCAGGCTCTAAAAAAATGTTTTTTCCGCACTGCTCTCATGAAACTCAGAAAAGCCCGGCTTTGCAAAAAACTCATTTTCATGCTCTATTTTTTTTCGCATGCTTCTTGTCAAATCTGCCAACTCCACCTCGTTACCTCGTTTAAGCTCGCTCCAAATTGCGCAGATGCATGCAATGCACAACTAAGAATGGTCCAAGGAGTTTGAGGGACCCTCGGCCTATTGTGGTGTAAATTTGCCTGCATTAAAAAATAAAAATTTGAGGGACCCTGGGCCTCAAGCTTTCGGATTCTTAACCAGCTCTCGGGCTGTAGCAAAAATAGCAATAATGATAATAATGATGTTTCGTACTATTGGTAGCCGTAGAAATTATAGAGATAAAAACAATAAAAATAATATAAAATAATCTGCTAATAAAAAGAACACAAAATTTTAAAAAAAAACACAATAATACGGTCATACAGAACATGTGTTGTAGCATCTCTTAATGAATATTCCGGGCTACCATCCTGACCCATGGAACTTCTGAGCAGAATCACACCGCTCCGCCGGTGAAACGGTTCCACTCTGCTGGCGTGAGCAAATCCAACAAGAACTGCCAAGCCTTTATTCCCTTTGGGCCGCGACTGTATGTTACTGCGGCACGGCGAAATCTCAATGCGGCCATGAACTTCAGATATGGGTGAACATCGAATCAGCATGATTAATGAGTTGGTTGTTGAAACAGACCCCCACATGGTATGATACGCACCCAATCATGGAACAATTTCCATGCATCTATATTTTAATCGATATGGCATGATCGATATCCCAACAAATATGATCAGGTTATGCGGATCAACACGTACTGACAATTACCTTAGGATATATGTAAAATTCTTGGGCAAACGATGGTATCAGCGCGCAACAACGATAATAATAATGATTTAACGCAAATAAATAAATATATAGAAAAAGTAATCACTAGAAAATAAGATAACAATAATACTACCAATAATAGTAGTAGTAACAATAATGATAAAAATGATAATAACCGTAATAATCGTAATCGTCGTAGTAGTCGTAGTAGTACTAGTAATATAAATAACAATAAAAATAAAATAATAATAATAATACAAATACAAATAGTAATAGTACTACAGTAGATGGACAAAATATTCAAACCCTGCAACACACACTATGTTGAACCACCGCGCCCCCAACTCTCAATGTTTCAGCGCGCATGTTACCAAAAGCGATGTTAGGGGTTCGATTCTTTCGTCCATTGGGGCTAACGCACTTCAGGTTACATTAACATTGAACTTTGGGGGCAAGGGAGTTGTACCGGAACGAAAGGGTTTGAATATTTCGTCCATCTACGGTACCAACTGGGGTGTCCGGCATGCCGCACACCCCAATTGCTACTGTCTCGCTCTCTGATGTTTTCACATCTTTTGGTCTCTGCGTGCTGCTGATCTTATTCCAAGCTGCTCAAAACATTGCCTTAAAGGCCTCCTGTCTGTCTCCCGTCCCCTTTCTTCTATTCCCTAAGTCCCAGTGGATTACGTCATTTGTGTGACATGCTGCTGCTACTATTAGTACTTCTACTACTATTATTACTACTACTTCTTCTTCTGCTACTACTACTACTACTACAGTACTACTACTACTACTACGACGAGGAGGACGACGACTACTACGACGGGAAAAGTTGTGCAGAAAGCGATGAGAAAAGACATGACGGTTTTCAAAGTGCAGCGAGTGCGGTGGCAAAGCGACTGACATCGTGGGCTCGACAAACGAGATAGGGGTACAGTTGCGCAGTCTCCTCGAAAAAGTCGGAGCGCCCGAACAATTCTAAAGGCCCTGACCTTGACTTCCATGTCATGTTTTTTGTTTTGGCAAAGAATTCAGCTACGTCCACCAAGATACCTACCTATCCTACCTCTACGCATGTCTACGCTTCCACGACACAGCTTCGAAGCGACTCAGTTTTCCACCAGCTTCACAGTGCGCAGAATACGGAGCGTAGAAGTGTTGTTGAATGTTGACGTAGACATAAGAGGCGTCAGAATATAGAGGTCGACACAGGCGATCAACACTAGCGCCTTGGGTGCGCCAGATCAAGCAGATCCTAAAGTGTAACATCAGCCATACTAGGCCAAGTAAGTCCCAGATATGTATGCATATATATATATATATTTATTTATTTATTTGTTTGTTTATTTATTTATTTATTTATTTATATTACATATATGGTCACCGACAGAATTATGGAGAAAAAAAACGTTCAACTTAGACAGGCGGCGCCTGCGTCCGATTTTTCCATAATTAGGTTTTTCCCCATAAGGGTTCAAAATATCCCGGAAGTGATCCGAACCTTTTTTTTTTCCATAATTCTTGGAGGTGGCCATTATTTCCATAATTGATTTTTCCTGTAAAATCAGGGGGCTAGGGCAGATTGACCGGTTTTTCCATAATTATTTTTTTCCATAATTATTTTTTCCATAATTATTTTTCCATAATTAATGTTTGGGGCTCCACCTGTTGGACATGTCATGGATCCACAATTCAAACCCCTTTTTTTGGGGGGTTATGGAAATATGTATGCAAATGCAAGTATGTAGTATCAACCCAATTGGTGGCTTGGCAAAAGGATACATCCCGCATATGTATGTACGTACAACAATGAGTTTTGGTGGTGCAATTGTATATCAATGGAAGACTTAGGGGCATATACCAGATCTTTAGACACATATTTTCTATAATTCAATATTCCCCCTTAAAATGCATTCAAATTGCGAACATCACATGATATTATGTATATCAATGGAAGACTTAGGGGCATATACCAGATCTTTAGACACATAATTTTATAATTCAATATTCCCCCTTAAAATGCATTCAAATTGCGAACATCACATGATATTATGTATATCAATGGAAGACTTAGGGGCATATACCAGATCTTTAGACACATATTTTCTATAATTCAATATTCCCCCTTAAAATGCATTCAAATTGCGAATCGATGGACATACAGTCACCGACAGAATTATGGAAAAAAAAATAATTATGGAAAAAATAATTATGGAAAAAAAAAGGTTCGTAACTTTTCTATCATAGACAGGCGGCGCCTGTAAATTGAAACGTTTTTTTTTCCATAATTCTGTCGGGTGCTGTATATTTGTTATTATATATATATATTATATTTATTTAATATGTGAAATATTTATATATATATTGAATTATATTGATTTATTAAATATATATATATATATCTTTTTATAAAGATTATCAATCTATATATCAAATAATATCAAATATATATATAATATTATATATCATACAATATTTATATATACCTATTATATATATAATTGTATAATATATAACAAGTTATATTTACACAAATATAATATTTCATATTTATATAAATGTACATAGATATTTATATATAATATATGTTATATCTATTATATATACTATATATAATATTATATATATTCATATATACTATATGTTTTATATATATATATTATATTTTATATATAATATATTATATATAAAATATCTTTTATATATATATATATTATATTGTGTATATATATATATGTATTACATATATACACTATATATGTATACATATATTGTAAACATATTGTATATACTATAATATATATATTTTATAAATGTTATAAATTACATATATTCTCTTATATATTATATTATATATATATGTGTGTGTGTGTGTGCGTGTTGTTACATAATCTATCATCAAAGATATTGAAAGACAACCAAGCTAAGGGCATCCACGGGGCAGTGTCAAAGATGTTCATGGCTTCTTTGAAGTATTTGCGCCCCTCTGTTGCGACGCGATAGATCAATTCCAAAAGGAAAGCGATTGCAAAGCAATGCTCCAGAACCTGAGAAGCTCACGGATCAATCAGAACAAGAGGTCATGGCAAGGGAATGCCGTCTGGAATTCGGCAAACGCCCTTTGTCTTCTTGCTTTTGCGTCTGAAATCCTGATACAGCACCTCATCCTGGGGCAAGATCATGCCACGATACCATGATTGCAGGTTCAAACCCACGCCAAACATTCCGATTTCACAAATCCTGATACAGCAGAGCACCTCATCCTGAGGCAAGATCATGCCAAGATACCAGGATTGCAGGTTCAAACCCACGCCAAACATTCCGACCAATTATTCCAGAAGCGAATCCTACTTCATTTCCCTGACACTCCAGGTCCAAAACCATGACAAACGCATTCCTCGGCAGCTTCACTGATCTTCACTGCTTCCCCAAGATGCAGGCAGTGAAGAAGCACAGAAACCTACTTAACTTATATTCCAATTTATGTTCTGTGTATACTGTAGCATCTGCTGTGAGAATTAGGTGCAAACGTGGACATGTGTTGACTCCATGACTCCACATGCCAGATCTGGCTTTTTTACACAGGACAGTGCCATGATTTCATTGCAGGTCCAAGGCACAACAGAACAAGGATTCCAATGCAAGTATCAAAGCACCCATTGCGTCTCTCCTGCAGTTGCTGAAAAGGACAAGATTCTCCAGCAGAATTCTCTGTGCACTTTCCCTTTGCACCGGATCATGCCAAAGCACGAAATTCTCCAAAAGAAACAAGGCTGGAACCAGGCTACAACATAGCACGCGCCCATCGAGCAATGCAAGTGGCCTCCCTGCATAGGTGCCTTCACTGCCAAAGCGCCGCCACGGACGCTACTGTCATCCAGTGCTTACAGTGTTTGTGTTTACCCCTGCTTTTTGGTGGATAACCTCGACGGTCCTGGGACAACTTGAGGTTGGCAGCCGCAGAGTGGCTCGTCTCGAGGTCCAAGTTCGTCCTACTGGCCGCGGAGCTACTGGGCCTGAGCCGAAAATCAAATCAAGACCTGAAGTTCAGCACAAATTAAAGGATTTAGAGGCGAATCACGTGAGATCCTGCTGATCATGATTTCAATTACTAAGGCTCCAGACCGTTCTTTCAGTCCTTGTGCTGTTTCGTCTTCCCTCCCAACGGCCATGTGCAGCTCAGGCTACAGCATGTTGTTGCGTGCGGTGTGCTGGGCCAACCCGTGTCACACTATCACTATCTCAGAGGATTCGCCGGATGCAATTTGAACTTATTCCAATGCATCCAATGCATCTTCCAAATTGTATACTTTGGGATCTTTGAGGCACATCGATAAGCATGACTAAAATGATTCTGTGATTACTGCAATTTCCGCCACACAGTGAACAACAACACACGCTCTACTTACAGCTCTGGTGACGCCGCAGGAAGCAGTACAATCCACACCTCTCATCCGTGTTCTTGTCTTCGACTGCACCAGAGTCGTCGGTCGTGCCAAACGCATCAGCCGTACTTGCCGTTTCGGCTGTGCAAGCTTTGGCAGAAAGATGTACATCTGGTGGAACTTGGAGGGAGGCGACTCTTCGACCCTACAAGCAAGTTCGGAGTTCGGAGTTTAAAAATGGACAGGTTGACTGAAAATCAGAGCCGCTCGTGATCATCGCACTCTCCTCATGTAAGGAACAAGCCTGCACCATCTTGAAGATTGGTTATAAAATGTTATGATTATAAAAAGAATATATATGTGTGTGTGTGTGTCTGTGTAATATATTTGTTTATATTTATATATATATATCTATTTATTCATTCATGCATTTATTTATTTATGTTTTTATGTAGTTATTTGTTTACTTCTTATTTATATAATTGTGTATACAACTTTTAAAAACATAGCTTTATATATTTATATACTAAAGATATCTAAAGATAAACAAAACCTCCTGCCATGTCTCAGGCTGCAACAAGCTCTACGGCCCGCCTCTGTCGTTCTGGGGGTTGTTACCAGACCATTCCAGGAATCATCGGCAGGTGCAGCCGGTTGCTGCGTGCATTTCACCATGGAGAGCGGCTGGAGGGAGTCCACTGAGTCCACGTTACAATTTGACGCAGCCTAAGCAGCCATGGATGCAATGGATTCGCATTTGCCGTTGTAGTTCTGAGTGATTTGCCGTGATCAAGAAACTGGATTTTAAGTTTCTCGATCTCCCTTCAAGTGGACAACGAATCGAATGATGTCCGCCAAGGATTCTTACTACTAGTACTGCTGTCACTTGCTATTTTTTGCATCCAGAACAAAACGCTACTCATCTGTATTCACATGCTGCTGTATTTGCACATACACCTCTCAGCTCATGCCAGTGCTTCAGCGGTCACAGCACCACTTCACTTTGCTGTGCGCACATAGACTTGACTTTGCTGTGGGGCGACTCACAGCTTCAGAAGCAAGTGGCTAGAAGCCGCTGTATCTCCCTTGTGCACCCTATAGGCCCTACAGTGACAACAGACAGCAATGCCGACAAGGTTCCACTGGAGGGCTGGAAAGGCCATCAGCATTAAACGGCAGAGCAACCTGCATCTAGGCCAGAGTCACATGCAATCCTACGCTGACGCTCAGTCCCTGATTCACAGAAAGCATCAGAAAGCACAGTAGTCCCGTAGTCTTTAATTTCCTTCCCAGATCTTTGGGCGCACACACGAAACCAGTGATGCAAGGAGCATGTAATTTATGAGCTTTGCTACTTCAAAGGATTCAAGGCAAGGTCACCAAGCAGGTTGCTACTCAAATAAATGAGCCACATTGCAACCCAAAAAACGAGATTCACTCTGACGCTCGTTCCATAGAAAAAAATTCAAGGGTGGAGCAAGGCACCCGTCCAAAACACAAAAGAAAACACAACAATTCAGCCCTTCAAGCTGGCCAAGTGCAATCCATAACCACTTCTGCCCGAGATCTGCCTGCTTACCCTGGCTTGGAGCATGCAGGTCTCCAGGATCCAACTCGGATCCCAAGGAGAACTCATAGCTGTGGTAGATGCCCGCATCTGCAGGTTTCCTAGAGATCAAGGGTGGTATCGGGTGGTATCGGGTGGTATCATATGCTCTCCAAATCCGGCCCGCAAGCACAGAAACTTGTGCAGCGGCGGCTCGATACACTTTGTGTACTGGCAACTGGCAGTCTACATGCTGCAGAAAATGGTTCAAAGCCTTCTTGAGATAAAGGTAGATAAACGAGATTACAGGAGTCAATTTCTAGATCAAAGTCTTTCTGCTACCATGACCGAAAATGATCAGGGACAAAAATGGACAAAAATCCAACAGGTTCCAACATATTCCAATGGATCGATGGATCGATGGATGACAGTCGATCACAGCCGATGACAGCCGACTGAAATGATGTGAGGGGCTCCAAAGAGGCCAGCAGCTCCAGCCGGTGCAGCTCCACAACATCTTTGAGCTCTTCATGTTGCCTTTTGTTCAGCTCCAACCTTGGGTATGGAACTATGGGACAGTTCGAAAATTTATGATACCAGCAAAACTCCATGAGATTCACATTCCTTGACGATTCAACGAATTCAAATGCTAATCTGCTAATTACAGTGCTTTCCCTGAAGGCCCTCGTGTTCATTGTTTCTTATCTGCCAAAGTGCAGCTGCCCAATCAAGGAATCCAATGGCACCTGAATCCTGTCGCGATAACCATCACCTCAGGCGAAAGCATCGAACTTGACGCCAGTCTCCAGGCCAAAAACAGTCACAGGCAGAATCATGAGGTCAAAATCTTCCAAATCATATTCAAAATCGAACTCGTACAGATCTTGCCTTGGTTAGTTTTTACAGACTTGAACTGTCTGCATTGACAGCGGGACTATAAACCCCAAACTTGCCAGTCAGAATCTGAGAAGCACACTCATCCCGGCCGCGCAGCCTACCGGATTCAGCGCTCTTGCCCGCCTTTGGCGGAAAGAGGATGAACAGAATCCCTCGCCGACCTCTTGTAGATTGACGCGCTGTAGGCCTGTTGAAGATTGAAGGCCAAGCCACCTGTTTTGTTCCTGCTTTTTTTCTGCTCAACGGATTGCATTGTGAGAAGCTTCTCCTGTTTATCCAGTCATTTTTGACCTATTGCCTATCCTAGCTCGACACGATTCTACAGTGCAAAAACCTACCTACGTCGTTGTCTTCATTTATCGGCTGCTGTGCCGTCGCTATCCATTCTTTTTCTGCATAAAGGCTTCAGCGGTTGGGGCCACTCTGCTGAGCCAAAAGCACGCCGTAGACGCAGAACATTCTCTATTGGATTTGACGAACATGCTGAGAGGATGTGAAAGGACACTTTTCTCAAGAATCTCAAGCTTAGTCAAGCACTGTCTGGTGTGTCATATCCAATAAGAACGAACCAACAGCATCCAGCGAATGGATGCCACGGGGATTTCCTAAAATTGAGGGAGAATGAAATCCACCAAAACGGTTTGCGCATTGGCATTTCCCCCACCGGAAACACTGGGATGGGCTCTGTCCTTCTCAGCCTTCTCGGCTTTCTCAACCTTCTCGGTCTTCTCAGCCTTCTCGACCTTCTCAGCTTTCTTCTCCTGCGGTTCTACCGTTTCCGCCTCCTTGGTGCCGCTCTGATTGTGCCTCGGGTGCAAGACACAGGCACCACGGCGATCTGAGAAGATCTGGGATCCCCCGGCCTTGTCTCCAAGATCCGCTCATAGGCAGCCCGAGCTGCCTCCAAAGCAGACATAGGACATGCTCGTCTTCGCAGATCAAAGTCCATCATGTCCATCGAAATAGATGAAAGATATTGAAAGATTATGAAAGCTACTGCATCTTACTGCATCTAAAGGAGGTGAGGTCTTGGGCCTTCGAACCATGGACACCATGGACTCGACATGACTCGACTCTTCATCGGTTTTTCTCATTTTTTCCGCAGCTGTACCGTCATGGCTCGCCTTGAACTGTTCTGCATTCCCACCCTTGTCTGGATGTAGCCGCATTGCAGCCGCCTGCAAACACCATCTTCCGTGGATTTCCATATCCTTCCATGGGATGTCTGAGTGTCTAAGTGGTGCGTATCCTGAGGGGAAAAGATGCCTAGAATTGTCCAAAGGATTTTGTTTCGGCCTTGCCTTGCCCTCACCCAGCTGGGTCGCAGAAAGCGAAAAGGGCACCGGCCACGCCTTGTAGGCTTTGGTCAGGTCAGCATCAGAGATCTCTGGCGCAACACCAAGGATTGCATATGCCTCCAGGCTCCGTTCCGTTCAATAGTCAATGGCGAAAGCTGTGATTCTGAACATGGTCAAACACTAATGATTTGTGGCAGCCTCGTGGTTCTGAAGGTGCTCGAGCATGGCCTGGCGATCATAGGACGATTGCTCCAGGTTTCAACTCTTGAAAGCACCTGGACCATGGCCCACCTTCAACGCATCCTTTTGCCAGGAGAGGTCCAACAAGTACCGGCTGAGCTGATCATTCTGCACCTTGTGGCAGCTGAAACACTGCACTTCTTCTTGGTACAGTACTAGTACTGCCAAATACTGCAAATATCTTAGACTGAAGCGTGGCTTGAGTGGACCATCCAAACCTCCTTTTCACCAATGTGCAACAAATAGGCTGCAGAAGAGTTGCCCGGGAAGAAATGTGATTCCGATCAGTTTGAGGATTCTTACTTGCTGACCCTGGGCTGATTAGGAAGATGGAGAGAATGCGTAGGCCCAGTTGTGAGGCTTTATGCAAGAAACAAAGGAGGGCGGCCACATACTTCAAAAATGTCGATCCTGCCTCAAGCTCATTGGCGGAAAGCGACTCTCGTGCTTTTACCTCAAAAACGTGGAGAAGCAAGGAAGCTCTCTCTACATCTCTCTCTCTCTCTCTCTCTCATATCCCCAGCATTCCCTCCCTGATGTTCTCCCACTTCTGGGCTCTTCCGCTCTGGGTTTCCAACTGCTTCATCCTCACCCCACCCAAGCTCCTTTTGAGCTAGTTGGGAAGCCTGCATTGCCAAGAATCAGAATCTGTAAACTCACTCAAGATACTCAAGTATCATGCAACTGGACCTGGCTGTCCAATGTTTCCAGCTCCAATTTGTCTAGGGTTCAAGCTTTCCTGTTGTTTGGTTTCGTTTCTGCCCTTAACATTAGAAAAAGCTGGAATTCGCAACTTGCAGCTCTTGCAGCACATTGAGGGTGGTTGCTGAATTTTTGGCTGGTAAATGGGTTCTTGTTCACAAGTGGGTGCTTTTTCAAGGATTCCTTGACGGTGGAAGTGGACTTTCTCGAACAGCACTTGCAAAACGAACAGAGCATGAAATCACAAAACCCATGCCAAACCAAAAGACCAAATGTGAGAGTCAACACCAGGAAATCAATGAGAATCCTACCCAAAAGGTGCCCTTCAATTTTCAATCATGGATGAGCAGCATTGTTTGAAAATCCCGATCCACTATCAACATCGTGCATGACAGAAGGGAACAAAAACCCACAAACCACCACAGTTCAGCTTGAGACATCAAATATCATCCAACAGTTTCAGATAGTCTTAGATGTCTTAGCATCACATGACAGTGACATAGCACCTGGCATCACCTGGCATCACCTGGCATCACCTGGCATCACCTGGAGACCTGTCCGCTGCAAATGGCCTTTGCCGCGGTTCCTCCGCTCACTGCTTTGGTGCCATCCTCGGTCAGAAGCCGCACTGCCTGGCGGAGGACCTCCAAGTCGCAATGCACCTGCGGCATGTGGTGGCATGTGGCGGCATGTGGAACATGTGGAAGCGTGGCAGATCAGCAATCCTTCCCTGGCTAAACAATCCTGTGACGAAACGTTTAACATGACTTAACTTAATATACATGTATGTACATATGTATATATGCATAATTCATAATAATACATGACAAACTGTACACGACTAGGGGGTTTTGTCTGGCGGCAAGCCCAAACTCCGTACACTCTCAAGACTTTTAGACGATGTTTCCGTTGCCTGCAAAAAGTGGAAGAGACCACCAAATTTGCGCCTGAGTTGCTCAAACATTTGTCACGTCCGTTCGTTGACCGCATGGTTTGATGTAACGATGTGATCAGAGTATACATTCAAAAACATGCGATTCCATGAGGTATATACGTGTATATATATATATATATATCTGTGTGTGTGTGTCGGTGGTGATGTTAACTACTTGACAATATGTTGTATCCTGCCAGGTAAGGGAACATGATGTGTACTTGAAATCACTTAGCGCCATCAACGAATGCTCAAATGACCAGTTGCACAGCAGTGAAGTAAAGCACGAAAGTGTCTCATTTCATCCTCGCCGATCGGAATGAAATATATTATACATAATAAATCACGCATATACATATAATTATATAATCATATATTTATATACGATATTATGTATATTGCGTTAACTGGATAACTCTCACAATATCACAGAGTCAGTGATGTATTCACCCGCAGCATCTCCCCCGCGAAACTTGATTCGCGTTGAAATCTGCTGAGTTGCTGTGGGTGCGCCTCCAAAATCAAACAGTGGAAAGATTCCCTGTGGCGCACTGTTCATCTAGATGTTCATCTATTGTTCATCTATGATCTTGCCACATCTTGCCACACGCAATTGTTGGCTGACTAAAAAATCTTCAAAGTCCATGCCTGAAGACACTGTCGCCGAAACTCAAAGTTCACCACCTCTGCATCAAATGTGCCTTCCCGGGCTAGAACCTGACCAGCAACTGGAGCTCTCACAAGAACACGCACTGGCATCCACGAAAAGACATACAGCGGTTTGAAAGCCCGAACAAGTAATCATAATTTAATAGAATTTAATGGAAATTAATACAATTTAATAGAATTTAATAATATACCGTGTCGTCAGGGTCAGGTGCAATTCTTTCAGGCCAAACTGAGTTGTTTGCTCCAGCTGCATGCTTCACTGCCCAGCTAGGGGATGCTGCAGCAATGCTCCCGGCCTCATTGGCAAAGTGCTTCGCACTTCACCACAAACCCTTTCCCCACCCCCGCACCCGACCCAAAATAGAAATAACATGAAATAACTACGAGGCATGAACAATATTGAACAATCATGCAAAGTTGTGGTCATCTGCATTCAACAGGTAGCCTGTTTGTGGGCAAACATAGGGGCTGGAAAGCTATTGCACATATTGCCTGCATGTCTGAACCAACGACTTATGACCCATCTCTGCGTGTAGGTGCGTGTGTGCGCTTGCAAAAGCCGTCGTCGACCGCTTGCAAAAAAGCTGTCGTCGACAGCTTGCAAAAGCAATGGTCAACTGTGAGACTCTAAGCCTTCACCCCGTGTTTTCCTTTGGTTTCCAGCAAACCCAATCCAATCTGGCTTACATCAGGGCACGTGGAGCAGCTCGCTTGAAGAGCCCTGCGGAGGCAGAAGCTCAGAGTCCATCATGACAGCTGCCGGTGATTTGAAATCTGCTCAACGGGCCTTTCTCGCAACCAGTGATGGAATCAGCTCCCTGTAGGCCGTCCCGCGCCTGACTGAGGGCTGCCAAACCTCCACAAAGGGCGCCGAGGCAGCCGCCTAAGCAGCTACCTGGACCTGCGTGGCAATGCACAGTATGCTGAGCACCCAAATCGCTGGGAATGTAAGGGCCCGTGGCTATCGTGCAAACATTACAGACTATATATCTATAATTACCTATTAACATATATTAACATTATATAACAGGATGCATCGTGCTCCTCCCCCAGGACGCGGGGCTTCTGGCTCCACTGCCAGGCAGTCAATCTTGTGCCAACAGTTTAATGGTTCCATTTGGTGCCCTTGAATCACTCCCGCGACCTCCAGCTTCGTCAAGGCCGTAAAGCTCAACTGTTCCTCATAAAATCGGTGCGGCAAGGAGACAATACATTGACTATCAACCATGATGCGTCAGCAACGTTCCAATCGATCCAAATTTCAGAACCTGGAAACTCTTAATCCTCTCTCTCTCTCTCTCTCTCTCTCCCCATCCTATATATATAGTGGTAGTATGTAGTAGTAGTATATATATGTGGTAGTATATATATATAATACATATATATATAATACATATATATATATAATACATATATGTATATATTATATATATGTGTGTATATATATAGTATATAGTAGTGATAAATATATAGTCAGTGCAGCCCAGGTGCTGCTGACTTCTCGCTGGGCCGGAGCAGCACAAAAGTAGCCTGTCATTGCATTGTTTGTGCGGCCGTGTCTTCTCATAGATTCTAAGTAGTGTCGGGCATAATCCGAAAGTTCAGAACACAATAGGGGCTTGAGATTCCTCGAAACATATATCATAGATCTACCTATCTCCATCCGTCCATCCAACAATCCATCTATCTGCCGATCCATCCATGTAGTTTGGAGCGCGGCACTGAACAATACTGAACAACCATTTTCCCATAACACAAAGCGAATGGGTGTCGTTTAAGGCCAGGACACGCCCCTGCCCCTTCTACAAAAGCTTCTGACAGGCTGACAGGAAGAATCAACAGGATTCAACTCTCTGCCACACGACTACAGATTACAACAGATTACAAACTGCCAATCTTGTTGTTTTAATTGTTTTAGTTGTTTTAGTTGTGCATTGTATTTGCAATTCCTCGAGTTCCTGTCAGCCACCGCAGCCTCCCTTTGGGAAGACGAACTCTTTCAATAAAAATTCGCGGTGGAAAGAAAAATTGTCAATTGCCAAAAGATGGATTAAACACAAACTTCAGCAAGCTTTTTGCATCACCATCAGATAGTATCATACTAATACTGGATCAAATATATAGTATTATAACGTATTAAATACATTGTATTATATAGTTAATTAGGATCAAACATCATTTCCTTCTACTCCGAGGCACCAAGCATGTTGAGCCCCTAGCCATAATTCTCCAGACCAGTTGAGCAGGTGTCCCCGTTCTGAGAGAAAGTCAGGGCTGAGTCAGGGCCCGATACCAGCGTCCAACTACATCCACTTCAAGACAAAGCGGAAGCTGATATAAATCGTAGAGACAATGGCTACTCCCAAACCTCACCAGCTCATGCCAAATCAGGATGAAGCAATGTCATGCAATGTCCAGTCACTGCACTGCATAGCCAATCCATTGGGAAAATCCAACATGATTAAATGCTTGGAAGATCTATCCACTTGCGAACCCCAGGGGGTTGGGTGAACTCTTCTGCAGGCAAGTTGCCCCAGAAGAGCGGATAGCCCCTCTTTTCATCCATTAGACCCAGTCCTGAGGCACTCAATGCGCTTCACGGCATCCTGCTTTTTAGAAACTTCCTCACACTCCTCTCAAATCCTGTCGAATCCTCTCAACCCATTTCGGCTGCGCCTGGTACAACTGGCCGGTTCATTTTGTCAATGAAGTTCATGCCATACATCGAGGCCAAAAGATGCCTCAAGTCACCCCAGAGCCCCAATCAAGCAGAACCAGAATATCCGGAATGAGAAAGGGTGTCTGATTTGTGACCTCTGGACGCCCTTGGAACAAGCAGTTGTAGCACAGTAGAACTGCGCTGCATGCTGAACCGAGACGGGTGGCATTGGAGAGGTCATGGTGGTGACCAGCGCCAATACATAGAGCACCTGAGTGGTCAAACGATTTGAGCAGACGGGTGGAACTTGGCAGAGACCGCCAAACATGGCATCACTAATTGAATCATTTGGAGCAATCGGAGATATCTCAGGGATAGTGCATAGGTGCCCAGGTAGCTCGGCATGCTCAGTGGCCCCATGCTTCTTGATATCCCAAATGCCACTTGATGCTATACATGCTATACATTTCACACAGGCCGAATGAAGTCGGGCTGTCAATGTTGTCGACACATCCCGTCAACGAGGTATCTGACTTGAGTGAATTGACCGGCCTGGATGCCCGAACCAAACGCACTTCTACCTACACCAGTCCTACTACTGTGTTCAAAGCAAACCACAAAAGTTCCAACGGGTTGGCTGCCAAGTCTACCAGAGATTTTCTCTAAATGAAAGCTAAGAATAGCCCCGATTTTCCCAGTTTTGCTAATCTACCCTCCAACTCTTGTTAAGTCACCCCTTGCTGCTCCCGATCACGGAAGCTTCGCACTTGGTCTCTCAGGGAGTCGCACACCTCAACTCAAAAACTCCTAAGCACCCCTGGGGAATTGAGAGATACTCTGGATCGACTGCTGATAATTTTAGAAATCTAAGAGCCCTGCTCCTATGCTGCGACTGATCTCTTCCAAATAAGTTTCCAAGTGATCCTCCACATCTTCAAGGTATTGAGTTACCTGAGGATTCGAGGACTAGTCGAACAACAGCCACCAACTTCATGCCTTTCTAGCTCCTGGACATGAAATGCAACACACTGGATACAGTACAAAACGGATCGAAACAGTTCGGCAACTCCAGGGACCTTGTCATTTCTCTCCGCCCTTTTGAACTCTGCGCAGCCAGGCAACATTGGCTTCAATGACTTTTTCGTGGATCATGTGCCGGACGACCTCCATGCCAAGCTGGCGCATAGGTCTTGACATGTCTTGACTAAGTCATACAGGTCACTTCAGGTCACTCGAACCAATTGCGCAAACAAAATCTTGGCAGAATGTTTGGCCATGGCACTCTGATCATTGGCCGCACCTGCAACGGCAGAAGCTCACGCACAGACAAATTGGCTCTGTCTGTCAGTTCCCAATTCGATCGTCCAAGCCTTCCGCTGCACCCACTCCAACTCCACACGGGTCCAAAGGAGCTTCTTCTCCTCAGCCCAAAGCTGAAGTTCCAAAGATTTCCAAAGCGCAACAAACTCAACTCACGGGCCGGGAAAGTTTCTTAATTTTCTTGGCAGGACACCATTGCAATATATTGCAATCACATCAAAGTCATTCGACTAATAAAAATCGACAAAGTTGAAATTCTGAATCCAAGCATCCACGTCATTCTCCGATTTCGATCGGCGTTTGGCAATGTGAGCTCCAAACCTGGACGCGTGAGCTGGCCAGGTGGCTTTCGGCTTGTGGTTTGGGCCAACCAGTCGAGCTCCCAAAAACGTCCAGTCGTAAGGGTTTGCGTCATACATTGGCTTCTGCTGCGAACATGAATATCGCTGCAGCAGTGGCAGCATATTGCTAGTTCATGATATTGTAAATATCTCTTCCGGCTATTCCGTCCAGTTTAGGGGGCCTTTGGTGGCCCAGCACAACAACAAACGCCCAGCGAGACATTGGTTGTGCATGGTTGTGCTGAGTTGGGAACCACATGAGTCTGGCCCGAAAGGCTGACAAAATAGGCTCCATCTCGTCGACCTTGGCTGTGACATGTGACTCTGGGCAAGCCTGTAACTTCCAATCTTCCTAGGTGCCAGTGGATGGAATTCCCATCTTCAACCTGCAATCTGAAGGGCGGAGAAAGAATTATGTTACAGAAACCTGTTGATTGTTCTGTTTTGCATCCTGATTTTGTCAAGAGACAAGCACGTCAACGATCCTCCACATCAGCCATGCGGCATTTCCAGAGCGCACCATAGAGGTGTCCTTTTTGGGCAATTGAAACTTCACTTCTCCCCTGAACTTCCCTAAGCTTCTTCCCTTGGTAGAAGCTAAGGGCACAGCACAGAAGGCTAAAGATGGCAAACCTTGAAACGGTTCATCTTCCTCTATGGTATGGTTGTCAGAATACGAGGCACAGCCTTGACTTGCAATATCAGTGTCAATTTCCAGCGCTTTCGATCTGTGCTTGATCATATTTGCATGCAACCCCATCCCATTTGTGTGTGTAGAAACTCCCTACTAAACCATGGTCTCTAGGGGGGTGTTTAATATTAGGGGAAGGGATTATTTGCTATTTTGATACATGTTGATCCTGTCCTTCTGAATCTCTTCAGCAATTCCATCAAAAGCCTCGGTGGCGTCGTCGTCGAAAGTGTTTGGATCAGGCTCTTGCTCCTCGAAGTCCAGCTCTGCACTGGGTGTCCTGGATCCACTACAGTCTTTAGCTAAATTCAAGATAGGTGCTTGATATCCAGCTATAAGATGGGTACGCTACGCTTGGTACGCTTGGTGCGCTTGGTACGCTTGGTACGGTAGGGTTGGTGCGCTTTGTACGCTTGGTACGGTACGGTCGGTACGGATGGTACGCTTAGTCAGGTACGCTTGGTACGCCTACCAACCGTACCGACCGTACCAACCGTACCAATGAACCGTACCACCGTACCGTACCAGATTAAGGGGGGGGTCAAGGGGGGGCGTTTTGGATGTACCAATACTAAAGTACATCCAAAACGCCCCCCCCTTGACCCCCCCCTTAATCTGGTACGGTACGGTGGTACGGTTCACTGGTACGGTTTCTGGGTACGGTTGGTACGGTTCAAGCGTACCAACAAACGGTACCACCGTACCAACCGTACCAACCAACCGTACCAACCGTATCAACCAACCGTACCAACCGTACGTACCAGGGAAAACACATTTCCCAACCGTACCGTACCATATATTCTTGAAATCTCGCTAAGCCCTCTAGCACCTATCTTGAATCTAGGTCTAATTACAACATACATCAACGATCATCAACATGCTGCAATCCTGTGTCAGTGTGTGTGTGTGTGTCAATTCCTCTCGCTAAAGCAATCCATCCAACTGCCAAATGTTGTGCACCCACATCGCCAGAGTTGCTCTTAAGCCGTCGGATGCCACAGAATACAATACAAAATCACCCCCTTGGGGGTGGGGGGGGTAAAAAAAAGTGAACTATTTCAAAAAGGGTGGGTTACCCCTCACCCCATACGTAGAAATATTTCAGCTAAAAATGTCTAGCTGTATAAGGCAATGGAATTTCAGCACTGTCATTGATGCATCAGCGGGCACTGTTGGGTCGTTTCGAACATCCGCAGCAAAGTACAGGATGTGGTCAGGTCGGGCCAGGTTTTTTACTCCCCAAGTTTTGCTTGTGATTTTTTTGAGGTCGGGAAGGCGCATAAGCCGTTGTATTTTCCAGCTCCCCCCGCAGAAATTCCATTGCAGCCGTAGGATTCCGTTTCTGGGTATCTGCCGGGCTTAAGTTGTGATTTTTTTGAAGGGGGGAAGGTGCAAAAACAATGGATTTTACAGCTCTAGATGGCCCCCCCCCTCGAGAAATTCCACTGCGGCAGCAAGGTTCGGCTTCTGGATATCTAGCCACGGCAAGTTTTCAATGACCAGGGGCAAAAGTTTGCAGATTCGTTTTGATCTATGTGTAACCCACTATGTATATCCAATTGTCATACCTAGGCTAGAATCTGCCATCCGGAGGACCCCTCCCACCTCTTTTGGAAGCCCAAAAAACACGTAGGGGTTGGTATAATTCATGTGGTCAGGTGAAATATGTCTCAGAAATTTCTTGCCTAACCCCCCCAAATATTCCAGGGTGATAATACATGATAATACAACATAGATCAGGGTTCAGATAAGGGGGGAGGAGTTGTGCAGATGGTTTTGGTAGATAGAGAGCGGAATGCATAGGGTGCACAACTACAAAATGCAGTGCGTGTTACTTTTTTTGCTGCTACAAAATGAAGAACATAACTCTTTCTGGCTCGGAAAATAATTCAAAACCAGTACTACAAAATCCAATGCATCTGAAGTTAAAAAATAGCTGAACGTCGGAATTGCTAACATGATTTTTTCCCAATGACATTTTGTAGTTGGGTCTTTGCCATCCAAAGTTCCGACCAACATAAATTCGGAGAACATTTTGTAGTTGTCAATGATTGAATTTAGTTGGATCAAGTGTTGACCCTGTGCAGTTTGTTAGATGGCATTCTGTACTTTCATGATCTGTTTCATGTTACATTTTAAATCATGTTAATTATATTTTATATCATTTTATGAATGTTTCAACTTCCTCAACATACATACAACTACAAAATGCAAATGAATGCAAATGAGATTTTATGTTGGATGTTTCAACTATTCAACCTGTACAGCTACAAAATGCAAATAAGATTTTATGTTGGATGCTTCAACTATTCAACTTGTACAACTACAAAATGCTAATGAAATTTTATGTTGGATGCTTCAACTAACTCAACATATACAACTACAAAATGAAAATGATGATTGGAAAGGAATCAACTACAAAATGATTCCAAATACAAAATGGGGGGCACAACCCCTCCTGTTTGTACAAAAAAAACCTGGCTGGCAATCTATACTGTAGCCCAAGTCCTCCCCATTTCGTAGCTGAAATTTGAAGGTGGATCAACATAGTACAAACAAACATGTACAGCATGCGGATTGCTCTGAAACTGCTCCAGATTTCCTGCCCACGCCTTGGAGACAATGAATCCTCTGCTTGGCTTCGAACACTAGCTGAACCTTCGCGGACTAGCCTGAATGCTGAATGCTGGACAGCATGCAAGTCATGAAAGGAGAAACTCTGTGGCTGAAGGGACTCCAGAATATGATTGGTGGAAGGACCCCGCATTCATTGGTAGAAGCACGTCCATCAAAATTAGCAATAAGAGAAGCGAAAAAAGGTAATCTTCAAATATGCTGGAAAAGAACCCAACAAGCAAAAGAGAGAGAGAGAGAAAAAAAAATGTATAAGTGTATATATATAAATATATATATATACCCTCGGGGACCCAGGTTCTCCGATGACCGCACACCGGTTGTTGCTCCGCTGCTGATGATGTTACGCTGCTCGTGAACGTTCATGTTACGCTGATGATGTTACGCTGCTCGTTGGGGTTGGGGTGGGGTGGGGTGGGATGTTAACGTTCATGTTACGCTGATGATGTTACGCTGCTCGTTGGGCTTGGGGTGGGGTGGGGTGGGATGTTAACGTTCATGTTACGCTGATGATGTTACGCTGCTCGTGGGGGTGGGGTGGGGTGGGGTGGGATGTTAACGTTCATGTTACGCTGATGATGTTACGCTGCTCGTGGGGTTGGGGTGGGGTGGGATGTTAACGTTCATGTTACGCTGATGATGTTACGCTGCTCGTGGGGGGTGGGGTGGGTGGGATGTTAACGTTCATGTTACGCTGATGATGTTACGCTGCTCGTTGGGGTTGGGGTGGGGTGGGGGATGTGAACGTTCATGTTACGCTGATGATGTTACGCTGCTCGTTGGCTTGGGGTGGGGGTGGGGTGGGATGTTAACGTTCATGTTACGCTGATGATGTTACGCTGATCATCTGGGGTTGGGGTGGGGTGGGGTGGGATGTTAACGTTCATGTTACGCTGATGATGTTACGCTGATCATCTGGGGTTGGGGTGGGGTGGGGTGGGATGTTAACGTTCATGTTACGCTGATGATGTTCAATGGTGATAACAGAAGAAGTTAACGCTTACTTGATTATGATTTATAGGAGTGGCTTGGATTGAGACAAGTAATCGGTGGTTCATGCTCCATGGTCAGTGTATAATAGTGAACAATGCTGATCCATTACTATGAACAAAACTAGCTACATGCCTTCTTACAGTGAGTGATCATTAACAATATCATTGATCATATCATAAATTACCAAGAAAAAACCTCGTCATGAGCACAGATGTCAAAACAAAAACAATATCTTGAATCCATATGGGAAATACCATAAAAAATTAACCACACATGAGTTTCGATTGGGAAAATACAATGAAAACACATGCACGAAAGATTAAAAAAAAAAACACAAAAAACATGCGGACTGTCAGGGTTCCTCACTTTCAAGCAACATTCAAATGTACTGCAAATACGATGTAAAATAAGGCTCCCTTTATTTCGCTTGTAAAAACACAGGGTAAAATGACATCTTTCAACAAATGTTGCATACCATCGCAACGTATCTGTGCTGTGTTTATAGGGAGATTTACAACTATACCCTCCTAACCCATATCAAGTAAATCACAACTTTGTAAGCGCTCAAAACGGACGAGATTTTTTTCATCCGTTTTGATGCCCAATTCCACATAACAATGCTTCATGTCAAAATGCTAGTTTCGCTATGGCGAAACGCACATTTTTCACATATTTGATCATCAACACCTATCATCTATCGGAGAACCTAGGGTCCCATCCGTATATATATATATGCATACATACACACACACACAGAGATAGATAAGAGAGAGATATAGAGAGAGAGAGAGATTTGGTTGTTTTTCTATGTATCCGGTGTCTGCTCCCACCGCTGAGACTGGTCCTACCGTGGCCCCGCAAATCTGTCAGAGGAAGGCACGCCCTCGAGCTACGAAATTGACGTCGCCTGTGGCAGAACCTGGCAGAAACTTATCGTTCTCATGTCCCAAAAATCTGTGTTTCGGACAAATGTCATGAAGAAACCAGATCGCCCACCAAATGATCAGACTCCTGATGTAGACTATCCAAGACCTGATCAAGCAAATAACATCAAATAACATCAAAAAAACAATATAAAACATAGCCCGCAACTCACCCCCGACGGCCATCCCAGCATATCCCAGCATATCCCAGCATATCCCAGCCTCCGGCCACCATACATTGGGAGGGGATGAGTGGTATGTTCAACATCCTCCCCATGGTGAACCATCCACACAGTCTGGATGCTGATCCTCGGGCTGATTCCCACAATTCGAAGCTGCATGCCGCTGTGGCTGCATGTCTGCCACCGCGTTTTGGAAAAATACAAGGCACTGCACACGTATAAAACCTGAGCATACCTATGTAAGAGGCATAGCGCGCCCTGATCTAGAATCTGAATGCCTGTTGACGAAGGAAAATCATGAAAGCAGGACTGTGGACTGTGCGTACATAGACGGAACCACATAGGCACACTTTGGCAAAGGATGCAAAAAGCAAGCGACATCTTGAAGGTTCTTGCAGCAATCTTTTGTTTCCCTATGCGTCCCTCTTTGGGTGTCAAAAGCGCCTTCTAATGCCCCTTGTCGCTGCCAAAACGCAAGGTGTCGAACTTGGGAGCTCCAGCGATGAAAAGTGCCAAGCGACCCTGCCAGCTGATACCATGGGCCCATGGGCCCATGGGCCCATGACTGGAAGGATCCATCTGTGTGTGCTGAGCTCATGGAGGTGGCGCATCAAAGCATCACCACAGTTACCCATGCTTTGCCATGCTTTGCCATGCTGTGCCATGCTGTGCCATGCTGTGCCATGCTGTGCCTGTTCAATCTCTACCTCCAAAGCAGCTCCGGAGTCCTTACAAGTTCGCGCATGCGGTTTCAACCTACAGTCCTTGTGTGAACCAAGTCCAAGCCCCTGAAAATGCCGCCATGTTGGGCACCATACACTGCAGTCTTTACGCGCACCGATTTTCAGTGTGAAAGAGTGCCGGAGTTTTATGCTAGACATGCATACAGAGACCCGTCTATCCATGTATGTATCTGTCTAGCTAGCTAGCTAGCTAGCTAGCTATCCATCCATCCATCTGTCAAATCGTTCAATCATGTTCCATCTTACCTCACTAATGTTGCAAGGCAGAAACCCAATCATTGCAAGCAGGACGCTGGATCTAAGGCTTCTTCTTGGTTGGTTGTCTGCCTGGAACGCTTTGAAACTAGGCTACGCTACACCCAGATCAACTTCTGCTTCACCCTCTGAAGTTCTCTCACAGCTTGGGCCATTGGAAGCTGTTCGCAGATTTCGCAGTTTCACTTTGCTCAACCTGCCTGGCCAGTTCAGGTTGCCCCTCTTCTTGGCCATGAAAGCGTGCCAGTGCATTGCGCGAAGGCCTTGGTGGCAACCCATTGTCATAATCCGACCCAGTTGTTTAATCATTAAAAATAATCCTCTGATGTCCTTTCCATGATAGAGACTTCAGAAAGGTGCCACTGCCCGTATTGATTAATCACTGTACAACCTGTGGACTCCGTGCGTCCGGATGTGTCCTGTATATTCCTGGATTCTCTGATCGAGCCACGTGGTGAGTCTGAGCATTGGAAGAATGATGAAAAAATTGTCCCCGTAGCTCCGCACCAACGGGACAGACTGCTGCTGCAGCCTCAAAATGTCGAGATGTACTATGTTTGACTTAAATCAAGCCAACGTAAGCCAACTAAAGGCACAAACATGCACAAACTGTCGCTAATGCCAATACTTTATAGTACTGTATAGACCTGTGCAGAGGACTTGTCACATGTCAAGCAACTGAATGGTATCCTCCACTGGCAGAGGATGAAGCTGGTATTTTACGGCCAGTCGCAGCACGGTCACCTCACAGGCGTAGAACGCGAACACATGGGGAGGCCCAAGTTGGACAAGTTGGACATGACGACGCAATACGACGCACACCGACGCAAAGAGAGAGGACGTTGCATGAACTTTGAATTGGAATGAAATCTCAAGCATTGCACGGAAAATAAGGAATCACAAGTTGAAGAGCGGACAGCGCCTTGCTCACTGCACTGCAATGAACCCAGCCTCAACTCTTGCCACGCAAAGGCAGAAACCATCAGAATCTAGCATATAGATGAATCTAAAACTTCCGAAACCAGAACAAGGGAAACGTGGGGCAACTATTACATAGAAGAACCAGCAAGAACAAGCAAGAACCAGCAAGCAAATCAAGCACAACACCTGGAGACCCACAGCTATTGACAAAATTGCAAGAACAGCAAAGACGGGCCACGCATCTTCATCGCCGGGTGCCGATGACCCAGAAAGACACGGGAGAGGTCGGCTTTGGTGAAGTAATTCTCCACGACCAATCTGCCAAGAGCCGAGAAAGCGAGAGGGAGATGTAGAGAGCCAAGGTCAAAACAAATTCTTTCTTTTGACTCTTGCACTTGTGCCTATAAATCACTATTGCCACCAAGTACAACGTACAAGTTCTTCCCAAAGCAGTGCCAGCCCAGGGCGCAGTGTCCACTCCAGTCCATCTTGCCTGTGGTTCCAGTCCTGAGTTCGGCGAGTGTTAGGAGTGGGGTCCTCTTGGAGGCCCCAATAGGGCAGCCCCTCCTTAAAGCCGTTTTCCCACCAATACTTTGGCAATCTTTTCACCGCCAGGTCATCGGAGATTTTGCCGTCAGTCTGCACCCTTTTATCACCATGTTGGATTGGGTTGTTAAGCAAAAGTTGGCAAAGGCCCGAAGACTGTTGAATGTTTGGAAAACAACAGGTTACGTAAGTTGCCCTGCTTGAATACCACTGGCAGACACTGGCCCAATGACACGTTTGTGTGTGTGTGTGTGCCAAGTCAATTACCCTTCCGGTGGGTGTTGGGATGCAGCACCAAACTCTGGCGTAGAAGCTAGCCATTTTGCGGAACCAAACATGTCTGACTTCTTTGGCACGTCACTTCCAATGTTGCACTTCAGGCCTAATCTAGCATCCTCTTCAAGCAATGGAGAAGGCAAGTTTGACTCCACAAAGCTTATTAACTCCATAAGCTAGGGGGGCTAGATGGGTATGAGCCCTCGCTATGTAACAGGACAATCTTTCCAGCCAAGGTGCGACAACGCCGAGGAACCCCCGCTCTTCCGACAAATCTGTGAGGTCATCATTGTCGCCACACAGCAAGTGAAGCTTGAGGTGCCGCAGAACCCTTGGCAACAAACAGCCACAGACCGTGCGTTAGTCCATAATTTGCATCAGTGCTGTGGATCTTTAGCGCTAGTCGGTTTATCCTCCGGGTCACTTGACTTTCACTTCTCAACAAGATTGGCTAATAGCCTTTCGAAAGACTATATATCATGTCTGGGAAGTGCATTAAAGTCATTACAGCTATGAAATTCAAAGCCATTTTCGCACAACAATACTTTCTTGACATTTTTTTCAAGTCCTTCGAGTCTCACTATGCCGGAAAAACTGTCCTGCCCGCCTGTGAAAAGTATGTACATCAAGGGCTTCCTTGCCCAAAGATTTCCTGCCCGGCGGATCCACATTGCAGCTACAAGGCTCGAAAACATGCCACCTCTAAAACGGCTAAGTCGGCTTAGTGTAGACCATCGCCGTATCCAAGTTCCAAACCACAAGGCCGGGAACAACTCATCATCGATGAAACGGAATCCTGCCACTGCCACACTCGGGAACATGCAGCAAATATCAATAAAAGTGAGACAGGGCGATCGCCCTGACCAAGTCACCAAATATAAATCACAATAACGTACATAAGTATATATATGTGTGTGTGTCTATCTATCTATCTATCTATCTATCTGTCTGTCTGTCTGTCTGTCTGTCTGTCTGTCTGTCTATCTGTCTATCTGTCTATCTGTCTATCTGTCTATCTATCTATCTATCTATCTATCTATCTATCTGTGTGCGCGTGCGTGCGTGGAGAAAAAACATGTCATATTATACCATACCATACCATATCATCCCGTACAATACAATACAATTACAATCACAGTATATCACAATCACAATTACAATTGCAACCACTATCACAATTACAATTACAATCCCATACAATACCCGCATTGCATGCATTACAGTACATAAAAAGAATCGAGTGCTTGGTGGGCGAAAGGAACTCTGAGCATGGATTCTTCGAACTTGGGTGAAACTTGACTATTGGACAAAAAGAGCAGGAACCTAGTAGAATGGGATACATTTAGATGATGATTGGTAATCGCATGTAATCGCCAAAAAAGGTGTGACAAAAGCACGGCGCAGAGATTTTGAACTGCAATCGTCAGAGCTATGGGGCAACGAAAACGATCTAGGCGCACAACTTCAAATTCAATTGATTGGTTTTGACACCAAATCTCGTCCCATTTTTTTCTTAAAGTCTCTACATTGATTGATTTTTCCCGATTTTTTTGGGGCTCACCTTACTACGAAATCATCGTGAGTCAAGAGTCAAAAATGGTCTGAGGGTCCAAGCCATATGTTAATGTGACACAGCATGACTGGCAAAAGAGGGCTATAGGGGTTCCTGTATGACCCAAAGCATCCCAACATAAATCACTACAAAATGCATTTCCGATTTTCAAGTGCTAAGGTAGAAAAATGAAAAGCCGCTACAAGATGCAGCGCGTGCTCGCGGACTACAAATCCCAGGCACGACTTCAATTTTTTGCATGAATTCTCTCCTCAACAGGGGATGGTATGCAGCACGTGTTCGCCCTTTTAGTAGTGGAAAGATTCAGGCATGTAGTGACCCAATTTTGGAGTTTAGAGGGCAGGGAAGCGGGAAACATGTGGGCAGAGCCCAGCTTTTGGAACTTTTTGATGTTCTAGAGACAATGGGTCCAAAGGCACAACCTTCAAAAAACAAGAACAATGAGCAACTTTGAAACTCTGTTTTGTGGGAAGGGCTCCGAAAAGGTATATATTATTTGAAAGAATCTGAAACCAGTCTGAAGCCCCCTCTATCTATCCATCTGTCTATCTCTCTCTATCGACTATATTTATCTATCTCACTATCTCTAAGACATGGATCCACTGCTGCCTGAAACCTCAGTTAATAACAGTCACATTAGTGAGCTGCTATATCAGCAGCCAATCAGACCCATTCCCCTTGTGCCTTGGTAAAAATGTTCACGGGATGCGGCGATCGGTTACGACACCAAATTCATCTCAAAAACCCTCCCTCTATAAAATCAGGATCAGTGGGCCCACAAATCAGAAGATTGCCACAAAAATAGCCTCTCTATACAGGTCTGGTACCTGAGTCCACCTGAATTGACCATAAGCCACATGTTAGGTTACAAATGGCTTACGGATGGCCTTCCATAAAATCAGAATCATATTTTTTGTAATTGTTTGGACACTTTTGTGCACAGACCTTAAACTTAGCTACATTAAATTGTCATTTTAAACAACCTCTGGGTATCACCATTTTAGTGAGGAAATCGTATGATTCTTGCATCGCGCATATTCAGACCCTTTCCCCATGGGCCTCCAAAAATGCAGATGCAGGAACGTGCGTTGAATTGTTCATTGATGACCACAGCTCATGCTCTATAAAATCGAGAAATTATCAAATAGTACATAATTTCAAATGGGCATCATCATCATGCCAGATTCTCCCTCTATAAAATCGAAAAAGCAAAAAATTGTCACAAGATGAGCCTCCCCCCCCAAAAAAAAAACTGAACACAAGATACCCTGATACCCTCTCTATAAAATGGGTTCCCAACCTGCACAGGCTATGTCACAGAAAAATAGCCAAATAAATCCAAATCAAAATTAGCTCTTAACCGGTACCTGGGTACCGCGATTTTATAGAGGAAATTGGCAGGGGGATTGGATGTGCATGTATATGTGCATATAAATATATACACATATGCATGTACAAATGCATATGTATGTGTAGGTGTATGTGTATTATAACGATAACTATCTATTTCAGTACGTCTTATCATCGCATGAGCTGGAGAATTCGGGAAATCTGTCGCACCTTCTGACTCGAGAGCACTTTTCAGTGCCCGCGCGTCCATGCCTTCACCTCATTACACACCGCAACCATTTGACAGGGGTTTTCGTTCATGGAAGTGGAATAGACTATATAGGTTCAGTCACAGAAGCAAACATTCCCCTGAATCCAGATACCCGATGATTGTGCCAAAATCCCGTGCCATGCCTAGCTCCCTTCATCCCTCTTTCATCTCATTTGGTTTCATTTCACTCTTGACTCTTGTCATCTATTTTGCCACGGCACCTTCCTCCTTCTTTGTTGGGAGGTCGCAGCTTCCCCCTTTTCGCATTTTTGGCGACTTGGAGTCAGCGCGCTGTTTAGAATCAGCACGCTGCTCCCCGAGAGTGGTACCTCAGCTCTCATCCACCCGTGAGCTGAGAAAACATCCGTGGATGGCGGGAAAAAGTAGCTGAGCCATTCAAAAGACAAGGCACTGCTACAGGCATGTCTTCCTCAGATCTGGCTATTGCTTGCAGCTAGTGCCACTGGCCAATCAATTCTCAAAGCTTGAACAGTGGAGCATGTCATCAGGTGTGTTGCCAGCGGCCAACCTACAAAGCTACACTTCCAACGACTGCTTTAGCGGTCCTCAACTCCTCAACGATATGAAAGCCAAGGCTCTCTGATCGTCTTCGGTGCATGCCTCGTAGAGACGCCTCGGCCACAGTTTCTACCTCTGCTCTCGAATAACGTCACACACACACTCACGTTATCGCTATTGCCCATTGAATATCATTCGCCATGCTCAATCTACAACATCTTTCCCTATGGATCTTTTCTCGGATGCAGCTCGGGGCGCGTGGCATGCTCCAATGTGACATCAAAGACCGCATGGCTTTCAGGGCCATGAATCTCATCAAGAAGGCGACCACCACCTCGGCTTTCAGAGGGTACAGTAACTCCTCTGCTGTCAGGAGATGTCGGGATGAGTCCGGTGTCCAACTGAGGACAAAGCAAGTGCATGCTAGCTTCGCAAGCACCTGGGTTTTGTGTGTCTTGTGACGACCAACAAAGAAACATAAACTCAAGCGTGTGCCACCGCTCTGAATGCAGCCCAATTAATTCCCTATTAAATCTATTCATGATGTGTCAGAGAATTTCAAAGGCTAAGCTAGTCCTCAAGACCAACTTTGGCAAAGATCCCAGCCTCTGTTGATGCTTGCTGTGCCTTAGAGGCAGGCAGCTTCGACCGTGGAGATGTGCACAAGGTCACCACGCTTGGTTCACGCTCAGTCAACGTTAGCTCGGAGCCCAGATTTTGTTCATGCTGCGCGCGGCTGCATTCTGTCAAATTCTCTGCGGCAACTCATGAATGGCAGCTGCATCGCCACTTGCTGGCGGACGTTCTTGCACCAGGTGTTCCAAGAAATTGTGCACATCCCATCCTGGATTTGGAACCGTCGGCGGATTGCTTCTGTCAAAAAAGGCACATCCTGCTGGAGAGAATGATCAATTATGTTCGCTTTCACATAATAAAAATCATAATCAGCGTAGTTGACTTTGATCTCTTCTTCAGGAATTCTGTAGTGGTGGATGACGGCATAGTCTGGATTCACTTCAATGATTGAAGTCCCGTTTCGAAAATGTGTAAGGTTGTGAACTGATGTCCGATACAAATTCTCAACTAAGACCACTTGTTTGGGATGTTTCCTAGTCCTAGTCATTTCTGGTTCCCGCAGCACATATGAAATTTCCAAGGCCTTGGGGGGCCTTGGGACGGGGTCTCGCAAAACGAATCCTGGGAATGGAAAGACTGGCAACCTGCTCCTGTTGAATTCCTTCCAGCTTCACGACTTCATCCCAATCGAAACACTTCACCGGACCTGGGAACGCAATATATTCATCCACGTCAACACATGTAGCTAACCATTTTGCGTGGTTCTTGGCCCGAAACAAGCAATCATTCGCCACATACCCTTGGCGAATGAGCTCGGATTCTAGGAAAAAGTTGAAGTAGACCCTGGTTGCAAGGCCGGCATCCACATAGGGCTGCATGACCTTCCTTGCAGCCAAATCAGTACCTTCAAAGCTGTAAAGCAGGAAATGATCCAAACCGCGCATCGAAGACCATTCCATCCATTCGACCCATAGTTTGAAAGGACCACTGTAAAGGCCTTGTTTATCACGCTTCGGAGCTGGATTAAAGAAAATGTCCCGGACACATGCCATCATGTGGTACTGCCCTAACAATTCTGGCTCATGTGACACCACCACAGTAGCAACAACCTGTCCATGAGGGTCCAAAGAAATGTCAATGGTTTTTTCATGCCGATCCTCAGGAGGCCAGGGACATACCAAAAGTTCTTCCGCATCCACCGTTTTCTGCAATGTTTCCCAGCATGGATACGTTTCAGGATGCCAAATGTCATCCTGTCCTTCAGCCAGCAAAGCGATGTAACCTTCGTTCATTCCAAACACTGGCACGGCGCTGAAAATTTGCGAGATTCCCAGCAACTGCAGCAACGTGGAGCAGTGTGTCATTCTCATTGTCGTTTGCATTCACATCTGCCGAAGCTTTCAGCAAGCTTGCAGCCGCCTCGTGCCTGCAAGCTAAATGCATCGGCGAGCCGCCGAAATCCAAGCGGCAATCCACATCTGCCATGGCTTGGCAGAGTACATCAACAATCTGCGCTGCTTGGGAAGATGCGGGAGGACGCATTACAAGAAGACTGGCGTAAAGAGGGCAAACACCCGCTTCATTGAAATTCGGGCATTGCCCTTGAAGCAAAGCATCGAGCACCGCCGCAACATCAGCTGTTGAAATTGCATGGAACAAATCTACATTCAAGTCGGTGCGAGGAGCTATGACAAGTACCTTCAACTTAACAAGAGGAGCGAGCTGTGAGCCAACGGAAGATTCAAGTACAGCATCAGGTCTAAGCCAAATCTCGTGTACTGCGCCACTCATTCATTGATGCAAACATCCTATATTCCGGATCCACCGGGGCCACGGAGGAAATTTGGAGCAAAGATGTGCTTCCATTGCAGGTGCCTACCAAACCTGAATCCAGGCTATGGCCAATGCAGGCACCGCACAGAAACAGTATGGCAGATGCCAAGGGAAGCACTAAGCGCACCATGGCCATGACAACATGAAACATGAAAGATTCGACCATTATCGAGGCTGTCCGTTGTACTTCGAGCCCACAGGTTATGTGCGTTTATTCATTTAGTGGTTCGCCGCCCTATGCGATGAACTGAATGGTCCCTGATTATACCATGTTACAGAGCCAATATACTGACACTGCTTGCGTTGGATTTAGCCGGGCACACAGCCCACTTCTCAGTAAGGCGGATAAACCACCGAGTTGACCCTCGGTCCAAGCATACAGAGACCACATTGACATTATATCACTTCCAAGCAACGAATGAATCCTATGATATGCTATGACCCTTGCCTGATCCTTGTTGCAGATTTGTTTCAGAATTTCAGATAGTTTCAGTATTTCCGGCCAGTTCTGCCCCCACAATTTGCCAGGTTGCAGGAGGCAGATGCATGGCGGACGCCTGACCATTGCGAAGCTTGGCAACACCAATACTATATAATACAACCCATCCCCAACATTTATACATACACACGCACATCTATAAATATATATATATACACGGAGAGAGTGTACACATTACTGTATATACATATCATTATATACATTGGAACCTGTGGCATCAAAGTGAAGATGTGTGTATGTGTGTGTGTGCGCATTTGTGTATATGTGTGTGTGTGTGCGCATGTGTGTGTGTGTGCATGCATGTATGAAGATAGATGTACTGCATGTGTACAGGGAATGTCGAGGTATGCAATTCTTGAGGTTGCTGAAAGCAAGAATATGCCTGTGATGAGTGTAATTAAAATTGTGGGCGAAAAAAGGGGAAAAACATACTTCAACAAAGGCCGTTGAGTTTGAAAAGGATTTTTTTTGCCTACCATTCCGCTGCCAGCAGACAGCTCCACCGGAAATTCGAAACATGCCAAATCAAAACATGCCGTCATCACACTTTGGAAAGTCCGGATGTGTCGCAGTTTGATTGCCTAATTTCGGTTGCTCAGTTTTGCCTTTGGATCTTGTGGTTTTGATCGTGTGCCACCCCGATTGTAGTTTACCCAGTAGATGTCACTATCCCAATCCCATCATTTCTTGTTGTCTCATGCTGGTTGTGAAAGGCGTGGTCTCTGACGTATTTCTTTCCCGGTGCCAGTCGCGAACACAAAGCTGGGACAAAAGTGAACAATACATCATATCTGAATATATCTGACATTATCTGGCAAGCTCTTGGCCCAAAACCCTCGTTTCAAGACTGCCTCTTCCGGACAAAATGGAAACTACACATGGGATATCAATGCAAATGCACTCACTACCATTCACTACCAGGTAGTGCCCGGCCCATGCCGGGCGGAAATTTCGAAAAAATGAAACCAGCAATAAGAAATCAATGGCCTATAGGAAAGTTTTTGACATGCAGAAGCAATGAAGCGTTGAAGTTGTGAGGCGCAACAACGAATGAGCAAATGGCGGTTGAGATGCCAACGAAATGGCATGACATAATCCATGCACAGCTGATTTAACGAACCAACGAATCAATGAATCAATGAATGAGGGAATTCATGAGTCGATGAACCAATGAGCCAAAGAATCAATGATTCAGTGAATCAGTGCGTCAATCCATGAACCGATGATTCAACGAATCACCGAATGAGTGAATTATAGAACCAAGGAATCAATGAATCAGTGAATCAGTAAATCGACGATGAATGGGCCGATGATACAGCGAATCGGTGATACACTGATTCACTGATTCAATGAACGGATGAACCAATGAATCAATTAATCAACGAATGAATGAATCGATGAAACATTGAATCAATGAAGCACTGAAACAATGAACTGATGAATCAGTGCACCAATGGATCAAAGAACCAATGAATCAATGAATCGATGAGTCAATGCACTTTTCCGACTTCATCTTCCAAAAGTGCTCCGATCCCTTCCTTTTTTTGCGATTTTGACGCCAAAGCATATTCTTTGAAATGCAAATCGAGCTCTGGCTACAGTATCGTGCACATTTTGCCAACTTACCAAGAGCGCTCCGATCCCTTCCGTTTTTCAACAGTTTGAAATGCAAATCTCGTCTCGTGCGCATTTTGCCGACCTCGTCTTCCAAAAGTGCTCGGAGCATGTCCATTTTTCAACATAGTTCCCGTACCCGCGAAAACAGGGACCCTACTTCGGCGACCCTAGGAGCAACATTACGCCAAAAACGCAAGGTTTCGCGCCCGTGAGCGGTTTCACCTTTGGATTCACACGCTTCCGAACTCTTACACTTCCAAACTACTTGATCATGGGTGGTTGACATGATGATGTTGATGCATGGGGATGGGGTTGACATATGGTGGGAATGCTAAGCGTGACCACCGTCCGTAACTCCGAAGTTTTCTAACATTTTGCCGCTCGATCCTCCAGAACCATGCAGAATCCTGACCCCACCTTGACGAAGCCTGGAGAGGCATCTGGAGAAAGGAGTGGTTCATCCAGGCGGCCCCGAACGTCATCCATGCCCTGAGGAAAGTCACTCCGAATGTCATTCAAACAATGTCAGCAATGCAGTCATTATAACCCAAGTTTTGCAAGATGTATACAGGCTGTTCATGTCTCTGATTTGCACATTTATAGCAGAAGTGCCACTCTTAGTCACTTTCTCTCTATATATGCAGATATAAATATATATATACCATATATATATATATTTATATTTATTTATGTATGTATGTATGTATGTATATGTATGTATTCATTTATGTATGTATATGTATATGTATATGTATATAGATATAGATATGCAACTGCAAAACCATACAAATACAATAATTAAGCCTAAGCACCAAACGAAGGAACGACTGAGGGACCATACCATGAACAATCATGAACAATCAACAATTTCGGGGGCACCCGGACTGCAAGACCAAGACCGCTTCTGACGCACAAATGGCAACTGAGAAAAAAAAAAGTGATACCTCACCATACAAAATCCAGCAAGATAAGATCCTAGAAGCAAGCAATCCGACGGATACAGCACAGCTTGCAGCTTCACTCTTCTTTACCGAACCACGCCCATCAAATGAACCCAGACAATGCTGACCAAAGCCAAGAAATGCCAAAAGGATCAAGATCCAAAACACCCATCCTGGACGATTACTAGCAATTCCTGATTTCAAATTGGATACAGTGGTGGCCTTCTCCGGCGGTATCTCTAGCGACATTTGTTCGCTACAAATTGAGGTGCGAACGGCGGCGGAACATGCACAATCATAAACCACAAGCATGTCTCGTTGTCAGCAGTATTGATGCGATTTGGGATGAGTGTTGGTCACCGGTTTCAATGTTTTTGATGAGAAGAACAACGAGAGTCAGAAAGTTCAGTGTGTCAAATCGTTTTTTTGACAACTGGAGCGAGCAGGACTGGATTCTATGTGTTTCATTATTTTTTGGTGCAGTTCGCAACCATCCTTTCATGTGAGTCTCACGTCTGCAATCCCTTTGATCATTCCCACCCATGCGCTGTGGCCCGGCTAGCCTCGAACCATCGACTCCAGAACTTGCGCCCCACACATCGCATGTGATATCGCACCACCTAACCACGCGCCAATGGCCTGAGCAAAACTGCCAGTCTTGTGAACACAATGACACTCAAATGAATTGATTGCAATGGTTGATTATCATTCACAGTGGTGTACACATGCGTAATTCTATCTATCCATCCATCTATCCCTCCATCCATCCATATGTATAATATATATATATTGCACACACACTTGCTCAGAAACATCTTATCGAATTACTGATGTGGAATGCATCGCACGTGCAAAAACACTTCAGTTAAACCTGACAGGAATGGTTTGATGATTGGAAGTGAGAAACTGTGCGAGGAAATCTTTCTACGTCCTTGCTCGAAGGATTTACTTGTTCTGATGCAGCTCAGTCAGATTGCGAAAACCGTACAGTAGTTTGAAAACTGTTGGAAAAACGACATACCGGTTCTTGGCTTAGCCGGTTGCCATTGACGAAAAACTGGAAAATTGCAGGTACGTTTTCACAGGAACATTGCAGCGTCTTCGTTGGCCGCTGACTGCAATGTTCCCCAGCGGCCCCCTGCTGAATTGGAAAATCCAGTTCATGATTGAAAAAACGAGTCAGTAGAAACGAAACAGCCAAACCATCGCTTAGAAGTTTTACATCTTTTCAGATGATCCACACACACACACATCTGTGTGCGCATGTATCACATCTATATATATATATGTGTGTGTAATAGAGCGATGGTATTCCATGACGAAGTATGAAAGACAAGCTCACTTCAGCCACCACCCTTTCCATGGCCTCTCCGTCTGCACCGGAGTCTTTGAGCTTGGGTCCTTCCATACCAACGGAACTTGGAGCTGTAAGAATGCGAGTAAACAGCGACAATAAAACTGCGACCAACATATATATATATATATGTGTGTGTATGTATATATATATACACACAATATACGTACATACTTGTATAGATCAATAGTGAGAGTTGAAAGTGGGCTTGGAGATGGCTAGTAAGGAGAATAATTCTATCAACTGGAAAGCTGAGTCAAGTTTGTCTAAAAAAGGACTCTCCTTGATCACCGCAAGTGAAGCGTCCAAGGTATTTCTCCCATGCAGACGTCAAATCCGCCGCGGCAGATCGCGCGCGGCTCCTGTCTTTTGGAAGCACTGCATAAAGAGCTGATCTCCAATGAGCTGTCAGTTGCCACACGTGAAGCACACATTGCGAGCGACGCAAGTTCGGCCCCAAAGCACTTTTTCTGATATAATTGGGATTCAGTACACGTGTGGTACCTCTTCGAGGCAGCAAAAAAAACAGAGCCTTTGGGGCTCGCATATCAAATTCGCCAGAGGCCGGTGCGTGTTTTGTTCATGTCCGGCGTCTTTGGCTTGTGTGGTGTACGTGCCCGCGCCGAATGCTTTGGAGACATCGGCTTGACAAATGAGCGGCCAGCAGTCCCCAGCAGCGTCTTGGGTGTCGAGATGGGGCGACTTGGTGGCCGGGTATCCTCAGCCTTGGGGCTTGGGAAATCATCCCGTCGCACCTCGATGGTTGCTGGTGGGGCCAACAGGGCGGGTGCCACTTGACTGGGTCGACGCAGGGAGCCAGGCATCACTGGATCTTCATGATTGAAGCGAAGGTGTGCTGGAGCCACTCGCTCCTTGCGAGCTTGTTTCATCCCATGCTTTCCATACCAGTCGTACATCCGATCTGCGTGGTTCACCCGCAGCGTGTGTTTCACCTCTTCATCAATCCGGTCATCAAGGGCAAAATTGGTGTCCTGGCTGTGGCCAGGCATCACGAACCAACAACAGTCCACAAATTCAGATTAGGACCCAAGCGTTCAACTTTCAACTCTTAAATGACTTGATTATCCAACATGATCTTATATATATATATATGTGTATATATATGCACAGACACCGATCCATGCACATTCTTTAGTCTTTTGAGAGCTTAACCAGGTGTTTTTTTCTCATTGTGATACTCGTGCCGGAGGCTTGCTGGACCACGCTGGACCTTTCTCGCCTGTCCTGCAAGAGTCTTTTCACCTGGCGGTCCATCTCTTGGCGCCAGGCCAGCCGCGCATCCACCGAGGGCCCATCAAGCAATCCCGTGCTCGTGACAGGAAGTGGACGGTTGTCCTGGTGCGCTTGGCACTATGGCACTAAGGCATTGATTGAACATTCTAACGTGGCAATATATATATATATATCTGTGTGTGTGTATCTGTGTGTAGGGTTCTATAATCATATATGCACATGATTATGATGAACTATTTGTACAACTCAGTACAAATCACGCATATCCCTACAAAATGTCAGCTTCGCACGGCACAAGCACCCTACCTCGAAGGCTTCAGCTTGGCGTAAAATCTCGACCTCTTGCTTGAAGTTGTCGGGTAAGTCTTTCAAAATGGTGCTCCGGATGTTTGCAGCTTCCTGGAAGAAGCTGAGGCGGCAAATATCTTTGAAAAAATGTGACAAGTGTGTCTTGAATTGTGTTGAAATCAGACCAAGAGTTTTGGCGTCGTCAGCTTTCATTGAGATTCAATGTGATGCAGAATCAAGGTGAAAGCATCAAATTGTCCTGCTATGTCCCACATCTTCGTTTGTTCGAGAAGAAATGTTTGTCCTTGAGCCGGCTGTCGTGCTCATGGCTCCCGACAAAGTGCACCATCTCTTTCATTGCTGGGTCGGAGCCCAGCGCCACACTGCGACGACGAATAGCAGTGTCTGCCTTAAGGTCAACGGGATTCAACGGGTCTTGGTTGAGAATGACCATGCAATTCTAAGTGCCAGCAATTTGTACAACGTATTACACATACTCCACTGTAATACTGCCACGATGAAGTTGAGTGTGCAAAGTCAGCCAAGTCTGTGGGCAAAGCACTTTACCTCAGGAAAGCAGCAGTAAAACACTCAGCAACCATCAGCAACCAAGCTGCTTTGGGCCCTTTGGGCCCCATGGCTGGCTGTGTAGCCGCCATCGAATCCATCGCCTTTGGCGTACTCGATGGTCTTGAGCCAAAACGCTCGGGGCATTTGAGGTTCCGAGTTGATATGAACATGGCTGGTGACAGGTTCAAGCCAATCCGAATATGTTCACATTCCTGCGCATGGCAAAGCGTTCATTGGTTCATGCCAGCCATGAGCATGCCCATGATGCGCACAGACTGCAACTACTGTCAGCAATACATGCAGACTCTGCCTCGGAGGCAAACGCTGTAGCAAGTTGGAGTCTTGCACAGCCTAAGGCCCAAAGAAGGAATGGACATGGAATGCATTCCAACTGAAGACAAACAATACAAACAGTGAAGAAGTCGACTGCTCTGGAAAAGTAGCTTCCCCAGACTTCGCGCTGAGGGCACGACACTGCCCTCCAGCTGCAGTCGCCCCAAAGGCTGCGTATTCCCTGAACAAAACCACAACGGACACAACGCCGTCCGAAGGGCTCAGCCGGCTCAGCCCCATCCATCTTCTCTTCTTACATGGAAAAAAACTCAAGCGGAATTCTGACAATGTGGTCTTACCACCAATCCCGATCCCCGAAAAGAATCAAAACAGC